TGGGCCCCATCTTAGAAAGCGTGGAGTCTAAGGCAATTCACTCAAAAATGGGCAAAATGATTGCATCAATTTTCTTCCAAGGAAAACCAATAAACAGCTTACATAATGACCTTTCTAATTTCATTGAACTCTTGTGGTTTCTGCCAGCATTTTATTAATATCCTTTACCCGATTGATGTAAATCAACGTATCTAAATGTCAGTGCAGGGAACATATCTGAAACAAGACCAGTTAGTGAAGCTATGGAGGCATTTCATATTTCAAAAGGATAATTATGCCAATTTATTCTGCTGAGTTGTCTATCCATCTGATATTGTTACTTTGCCTATATTCCTTCATCTGTTGGAGTACTGATAAGAAAAAACTGATTTAAGTTTGTTCAGTTTATGTACCACCTGATGAACACATCGATCAGTGAAATCTGAATAATAAAGCAGTTGCCTGAACCTATCATAATTATGGATGATTTCAATGGTTGCAATCTATTATGGGGAAGTAAGGATAAAAATTTACTCAGCACCCAAACTGAACAAATAATTGAAGATTATGGTTTTATCTTACTTTTTATCCATTATCATTATTTAGTAATAAAAGCAATGCACCTACTTACATGAGCCTTCAAAAACTTTTCATGCTATCAATCCTGCTATATATTTACCATCTCTCTTGTCATTTTGTGCATTTAGTTTGGGTAAAAGTCCATATGATAGTGATCACATTTCTATCCTTATATCTTTTACAAGAGAAAGAATAACTTCTTTCTGAGACTTTATATTTTGAATAGAGTAGATTGGAAACTTTTTTCAGTCGTAGCGGAGCTCATGGATGGTGTAGAGCAGTGTTTCTCAACCTTTTTTGGTCCGCGAACCGGTAAAACTTACAAAAACATTTCGCGAACTGGTGTTTTTTGTCCCTCCCCTCCTTCCTCCCAAAACTTTCGAAGGTATTCAAGAATTACTACACAAGTTAATTGTAATAGTCTTATTAGCATTTGTCTACAATCATATTTAAATATAAAGATAAGTAAATATTGTAATTATTACATATTAGTATAATTATCATAGTTAAGTAAATAAACCTTTGAGAAAAATCACACAGTATTACAAAAAAATAATCACAGAAACTGCATATAAAAATGGATGAGTAACGGTTCTTGGACAAGCGAATGAGGATCCTTTATCTACCATACCTGAAGCACTACTTGTCAACCTCTTCTTGTCCTCAAGTGGCAACAACGGAAATAATCAGAATTCATAATAATGCTTTCATTGGAAAGAACATCTCTACAAACAACACATTCAGGTTTTGGACAATTTTCTTTTGATTGTGGCCAAAGGACAAAACCGTATTTCAAATAGTCTACGATATAGTGCCTTACAAAGCTTTTTCTTTTTTTGCTGATTATGGACTATATTCAACTTCATCTGTATTCGAAGGGACGGATGACGTAGTTGGTTTTGGAGAATCCTTTCTTTGTATGAAATTTAGTAATGTGCCTTTTGTTTCCTTCTTACTCATCCTGGTTACTGATTTTTAATCTACTTAAAGTTACAGAAATAGTAGTTAGTTATAGCACAGTATTAAATTCAGAAGTTATTAAAAACTTACGCTGATGTATAGTTTTCAGTTGTCCAAGCATACAGAAGAATTTAAGCAAGATAAAAAGTGAAACCTAATCTAAGACAACTTAAACACTATGATAAATATTCAGCATTGAAGTAATCAGCGATACTCAAGGCTGACAGTGGCACATTAATTGGTGTACTAAATGTATGGCACAGCAATTTATGAAAAGTGATACATAGTTGCCAGTTTGTTATATTTTTCGTCATCGATCATATTATTTTCTAAACTAGTAAACTATTGTTATTGTAATATAGGTGTTGTTGTAATATCGGTTGTTGGGCGATGATACTTTGGGTTTTGAACAAATAGCTGGATTAAGACGCACTAACACGCCGAACAAATACTAATTCAGAAGTCAAACAACAAAAATCAGCGTTTTATTTTTAAAATTTTCACAGGACTAGTATCGATGGTTTTACCGAACCACCATCCTCAGCTGTAAAACAGCAAATGAACAAGATAGGAAATAATGATAAGATAAGATAAGAAAACCAGGACAAGAATAAGCAAGTGGCGCCATCTGTTGATGAAATCAGAACTAAAACATAATTTCTTTAAAGGCCGAAGGCAAAGATGGATTGGAATTAGGATCGTTAACTAAAACAGAAAGATTTTTTTGAATGTGAAATGCCTCTAGAAAATCCAGTTCTCCAATGGAAGATGTTTTTTTGAATGATTTTGGCAGCAGAAAAATTTAAAGTGTGATATTCAGTTCACTTTTGAACTTGAGACTTGCAATTCTCTTCTGTTTTCTTGACATTCTGGTCACACATCCAACTTCAGTACTACGGTTTACCGTAAACCTTCATCAGTTTGCCTTCCACCTCACTTTAAATCATGTCATCCGACTAAACAAAAGTTAGCTTCATTTTATTCCTATGTTTTCCGTGCTCTTCAAGTTTGCTCCTCCAAAAGCAATAGCTATTGACAGGGGCTTTTCACCCAACGTTTTTAATCAAGCACTTAAAAAATTCTCAACACACTAAAAGGCACACTCTTGTTTTAGGAGATTATAAAAATTCTGTTGTCATTTCCTTCTTTCCATCAATTAGCTATAAAGTTGCACATATTTTGCAGAAATTTAACTTTCGGGTTGTTTATTGTCCCATCAATAAAATTCTGAGTTCCCTACTCAAGGACCCCATTCCGGATATGAATACCTGGGCAATTTATAAGATTCCTTGCCAGTGTGGTTTAATTTACATTGGCCAAACTAAGAGAGCCTTAAAATTTCGCGTCAAGGAACACGAGGCATATGTTAGAAAAAAGGAAACACAGAAGTCTTCTGTTGCTCAACATTGTTGGTGAAAATCACCAAATCAAATTTTTCTGCTGGCCAAATCATCATTCAAAACATCTTTTAAAAAATCTGAATTTTCTAGAGGCATTTCACATTTTTAAAAAAAAAAAAAATCTTTCTGTTTTAGTTAACGATCCTAATTCCAATCCATCTTTGCCTTCGGCCTTTAAAGAAATTATGTTTTAGTTCTGGTTTCATCAACAGATGGTGCCACTTGCCTATTCTTGTCCAGGTTTTTTTATCTTATCATTATTTCCTATCTTGTTCATTTGCGGTTTTGCAGCTGAGGATGGTGGTTCGGTAAAACCATCGAAACTAGTCCTGTGAAAATTTTGAAAATAAAACGCTGATTTTTGTTGTTTGACTTCTGAATTAGTAAATAGCTGGATATTTCATAGACTGGTACTGGTCTGCAGACTGGCAGTTGAGAAACACTGGTGTAGAGCATGCCTGTCGATGAAGCACTGAAAAGCATTTACTGATACCACTGTCCAGGCAGTTGCAGTTTCAATACCATGGCATCAACAAGGCTTCAATGATACTCAAAAGCATGGTGGTATTGCAAAAGCTCTGTGTTGGAAATTTGCATTCCTCCCATTCGTGACTACGCTGAGCAGAAAAGGTGAACTGCATGGAAGGATCCTTCCCGACAGAGAGAGAAAGGGTTGTGTGTCTTCCCAATTCTGATGGTGCTGAAGACTGTCCTTCCTGCCATGCCTATCCTAGGTGTTTGTCGACGTGGCCAACAGCTGTGATTCTCTCAAGCATGGTGCAGAAATGTGATGCATGGAGTCCTAACAAGGAACAGCATAGTGGAAATAGGAATCTAGCTGAGCATTCCAGATTGAAATCATGTTGTATCAATCAAGTACATTCTTATATTATCCATCCTATAATTTCATTAATGTGTCATAGTCTGACACAATATCTTCATCTATTTTATTAAATGGAAAGAAAGTAACCAATTAAATCTTATGTTTTTAACTTAGTGCAATTTATACTTCTGTAGTAGAGAACCTCGTTTCTACACATAATACTGCATTTACTCTCAAGGTCTTTTAAAAAAAGGTCAAGATCTTATAAATTTCAAAAACAACACTCTGAAACTATGAAGCAATAAAGAAGAGCTTGAGAAGTATTTTGGAGGTCTTTGTCAGATTTTATGACCTTCAAAAAAGTAAACTCAAATGCAAGAAAAGTCAGATCAAAGAGCCAGAGAAATTCATGGATAACCTATGAGACAATCCTGTATACCAAGCAAACAAGTATGGCATGTGGGATATATAATGGTCACTCTGATAAAGGGATATTATATTGTTATTCTGCTTAACGGTAGACTAGGCAGTGATTAACCATTTTCTCAAGCACTTTGCAAATGCAATTTGTAAGCATGATGGGCTAATTACTGAAGAGATTCTTTGGGTCTTTCTATGGAACTGACAACAGTTTCCTTCTTGTTCTGTTTAACAGAGTATTGAGGGAGCAGCTTAAGTGCTTGGAAGCAAACTTTTGTCATTTCCATAAAAAACCCAAAAAGTCTCTTCAGCGTTTAGCCCGCCATGCTTACAAATTGCATTTGCAAAGTGTTTGAGAAAATGGTAAATCACAGCCTAGTCTACTGTTAGCAGAAAAACAGTTTAGTTTCCCTTTATCAGAGTGGTTTCTGTAAAGGTGGAAAGGGCTCTGTGCTCCTTTTGGAACCCACTATCCATTACACTTTTGTACAGAGAAATGATTTAGTTTCTTTTTTTATAGGGAAGAGGCCTATGATAAGGCTACTAATACTACTTTACTAATAGTGGCTTGTACAGTTATTCTATAGTATGGAACAGTATGTGAGCATGTATGCTATTTTTGCATAAGAAAGTGCCCTCTGGTGGTGAAATTTGGAGCTAATCCTCCCCTCTGTAATTTTTTTGCTTTTGCTTCATTAACATGCTTCTAAAATTTCATAGCTTTCTGATTAATGCTTACAGTTACAGAGAGCTTGAAACAAGCATACTTTAATAATAGACACTCTGTATTTAGCAACTTTCATAATATGTTTTGTTACTAACACTGTCATTATTTATAGCATGCGAAGGAGAAAGCAAAGAGAGCGTGGAATGGTTATAGTCAAACATCAAGATGGAATGTCATCTGATGATGAAGAACCTGATCTAGATATCCTGGAATTCAAGAAAATGAAAGGTTTGAATTAAATATGGCTAAAACCTTTCATATATATAAGCCTAAAAGGTGCATTAGAAATGTTATTAATTTTCGTACGGTATTTAAATCTGCTTTTATGTAGTATAAAAGATTTTGTGCGGGCTGGAAAAGGTGATAAAATTCATTGTGGAATTTTGAGATGACTAGGACAAGTTGAAAAATAATTAGCTAAGGCACGTTAAGTGCTGAATGATAAATTTTCATATATACTTAAAATAATTAAAAAACATGAATGTAGTTTAGCATGCTGATCTAAATGTTTAAGATTTTAAGTGCAGTAGAGTCCCTGAAACTCGACTCCTGATATCTTGACAGAAGTATAACTCAATAACTTTTTAAGAACTTTTTAAAGATATCTCTAGGCCAAACAGATCAAATATTACATATAGTACATATAATTTTTATTTATGTGTATGTTTTTCATGTTCTGTTTAAAGATTTAAGTGTCTTATTTCTTGGAACTGCCTAACAATTTCAAGCTATCTTGTTATACTTGGCAATACTGTTTGCATCTTTTGAGGGTATGAAGAAAGTTAAGTAGCAGCTGGCTGCTGGCTTACTTTCTTTTTTATTGTTGCAAAACATTAGGAGACTTGTCTGAAGTTTTGTGACTGCATCTTATTGCAAACTAAACTCACACCAATTCATTGTGGGTATTGTTCCTCAGTTCACATCCATGCATATCAGTGTTACATATTTTTTGGGACTTTTCTGTGAATTGAAAACGTCATTTGAAAAGAAAAGGAAACAATGTGACCACCACCCACAGATCAATGGACAAGAGTAGATTTTTTTAAAAATGTATATATTATTTGTCTCTAGGATCATAATATTCAATTTCTAGTTTTTTAGTTAAAACATTACATGTGTCAAAGGGTTAAATATTAAGAGTTCTGAAAAACCTACCCTTATTTCATAAAACTCGACTTTTCCAAAAATTTGAGGGACTCTAATGTAATTCAGACAGTGCTGGTAAAACAGCAAAGCATTCAACCATTGTTCAAATGTATTCTTTCATAAATTTCCCCATCTTCAAAGTTACCTAAATAAAGGAATGTAAAATATTACTCCATTTTTACATCATGAAATAATTTATGATAATAATCATAAATATAATCATAGGTTGCAATGAAATTTGTAAATTTGTATTATGTAGTAAGTTTTACTCATTTTATTAAGCTGATATCTTTTAAATTTTATTTCTATTTATATATAATATAAAATAGATAGATTAATATAGTTAAAAAAGAATTCACAAGAATGAGATGAAAAATCATGTTCGCTTTTGTTAATTACTTGCCAATGTTTCAAAATGAACTTTAGTTGGCTGTTTATATATGTATACATATATGTGTGAAATATAAGAAAATATGATAGCTGCTTTAAAAATAATTGGTGACCTCAAAATTAATATTCTAGATTTGGTGCTCTCCCCTAAATTCAACTGTTCTCCCAAGTTCGAGATCCTTTTATGTTATGTAACAACCTCAAATTAACCAATCATAGCTTTTCTCTACAATTACATCAGACTTATTATCAATACCACTGGCGAATTATGTCATTCTTCTCCGAGCTTCCGCCATGCCAACATCTATGCTGCTTTGCTTCCCCGTCTAAAATGCCTGCATCTTATTATTATTTTTAATGAAACCAATGTGCATAGTATTTTATCCTGTTTAATTATGATTGAATAAATGTCTGCTAAACTAATTTGATATGTGTTAAAATAAAAGATTGGTGATTTGCCAGAGCCTATTGGGTAAGTGCAAAAGTTCTCCCTGTTTTCATTACCCATAAAGAAGAGCAAATAAATGCAAAATGAACAGTACGTATTATTTTGCTCCATTCTTAGTTATGATCTCTTGCCATCTTTTTGGTAGGAGATGAATCTCACGGCGGTAAAATTCCGGCGTTTTCAAGTTAAAAAAAGTCTTGGATGGCAGTTTTCACAGCATCAAGATCATCAAAGATTTTCTGACTGAAGGAATTGTTCAATGCATGAAATAGGTGATAATCAGTTGATGCCAAGTCGGGAGGATGGGGTAAAATCTTCCAGTTGAAGCCGAGTAACTTTTGTCCAGTGATGATAGCAGCATGGGGTCTGCCGTTATCATGATGAAGGATAACACCACGACAATTGATAAGACCTGGCCGCTTTGCTACCAAATTTGAATGCACCTTGTCTAACTATAGAGAGTAGAAGGCAGCCGTGATGGTTTGGTTGAGTGGCAGGACCTCCCAGTGAATTATTCCCTGCACATCCCACCACACACTTAATAACATCTTATTGGGATGAAGTTCAGCTTTCAAAGTCGATGCAGGCAGATCAAAATAGCAACATACACTCCTACAATGCTTTATGTTACGGTACATAACCCATTTCTCATCTTCTGTCACAATTCATGTCATGAATGGGTCATTTTTGTACTGGGAAAGCAAGGAACACTGGTGGCAGTTCGGTCATCCCGTTGATTAGCTGTAAGGTTATTTGGAACCCAACGATCCAACTTTTTCATAAAACCCAATTTAACCAGCTGTCTCTCAACCATTGTCCAGTGTACGTTGAAGGTCTCTGCTAATTCTTGCACGGTTGGGTTCAGGCTGTTCCTTATAGCTTGGTCAATATCGTCTTCTTCAACGTGTGATGGCTGTCCACTCCTAGCCTGATCTTGACAGCTTGTCTCCTTTCCTAAATTTATGAAACCATCGATGACATGTACTTTCGTTTACTTCATCCTCACCCCCCATAAACTTGACAAACATTGTGACATGCTGCAGCTGCCGTACTCCTTTTATCGAACTAGTATAACAAACTGTGTCTTATATGCTTTTTCTCACTTTCCATGTTACACCATCTGAGATTTTTTTTTTTTTAGATGATTAACTATGCGAGACATGATGCAGTTATATGTGAGGCATCCACACATTTTATTGGTCAACAATTTTCGTCATTACAATGTCATGTGTGAAATCAATTCCATTGCAAATTTGCATATCCAAAAAAAATGGGTGGAACTTTTTCGCTCATCCAATAGTTTCATCATCTTTCTCTCTTCTTGCCACTCTGCCAGCACGACGCATCAAAATTATTACATACTTATAAAGTCACCAGGCAGTAGGCTGAACCTACTGCCACAACTCCAGTGTGTTTTAGTTCAAAGGGATTAACTCTGTTATCAAGTGATTAGTGTTGTTTTTCTTTTTCTGTCTTTACTCAAGTGCGGACGGACGTTTCCCCAATTGGATTTCAACAAATTCTAGTGACTGTGAAAGAAAAAATTAGAAAAGAGTGATAAATGCATGCATGTTTCTTCAATCTACAGTGACTGGACTGCAAAAACAAAAATTTAAAAGTGATTTAATGTTGTGTGTTGAAAGTTCATCGATCTCTACAATGTGGTGAGGTTGTGATACTGCGTGGGTTGCTTCTATGTCAAGGCTGTATTTATAGTGAAAAAAGTGTCATCGAATATGTCATCATTATATAAGTAAGTAATAATTTTGATGCGTAGCCATGCTGGCACAGTGACAAGAAGAGACAAAGATGAAGAAACTAGATTCTGGCAAATTGCCTATCTTTTATTTTCACACATATCCAATTAGTTTAGCAGACACTTTTCCAATCATAATTGAATAAGATGAACTGCTATGTATATATATTAAATATGACGCTGGCATTTTAGATGGGTAAGCAAAGCAGCGTGGATGTTGGCATGGCGGAAGCTCGGAGAAGAATGATGTAATTAATTTGTCAGTGGTATTATACTAAGTCCGATGTAATTTTTATACTGAGTCTGATGTAATTGTAGAGCTAAGCTATGATTGGTTAACCCCTTAACATATTTGCCTGTGTCTGACACAGGTAAAAGTTACCGGCAAATTTGCATATGCCCGTGTGTTACACGGGCGCTCTTGTATCTCGCATTATTTTATTTCTAATGCCCATCTGAGATCCATTCCAGTAAAAATAGATAAGCTAGATCATAATTAAACTTAACATAGATGGCACCACTATGTAACATTTTCCTTGTGTAAACCAGGTGGTGCATTTTGATGATTAGCTATAAGTTTGTTAGAATTTCTTTGTTATAAAGCAGTTGTTTGGTGTGGAAAAGGTAATATATCCATTTTTATTATGTAAATAACATAAAAGTAAGCAGTTAACCACAAATTAACTTTTACTAAGAGTTTTTGTAATTGTTTAGAAGTTATCTGGTAATGAGCGACTCTGACGATTTTGAATATGCCAATTTATCAGACAGTTTCAGTGATGAAATTGATGATTTCTTGAGTGATGGAAGTAATCGGAAGATAATGATGATGAGATTTTGGATATAGCAAGAAATTGGTATCAAATTAGTACAAATCAACCAAATGTTGCATCACTGAGATTTCGATTTGAAGCAAACCCTGGCTGTTCTTTTACTTTGACAGATTGCTATGATGTTTTGTCATGCTTTGAATTATTTTTGTGGAAAAGGTAATATATCCATTTTTATTATGTAAATAACATAAAAGTAAGCAGTTAACCACAAATTAACTTTTACTAAGTGTTTTTGTAATTGTTTAGAAGTTATCTGGTAATGAGCGACTCTGACGATTTTGAATATGCCAATTTATCAGACAGTTTCAGTGATGAAAGTGATGATTTCTTGAGTGATGGAAGTGAATCGGAAGATAATGATGACGAGATTTTGGATATAGCAAGAAATTGGTATCAAATTAGTACAAATCAACCAAATGTTTCATCACCGAGATTTCGATTTGAAGCAAACCCTGGCTGTTCTTTTACTTTGACAGATTCCTATGATGTTTTGTCATGCTTTGAATTATTTTTTGATAACTCTCCCACGGACATAATTCTAACTGAAACAAATAAATATATATGCATTTCAACATCTAGGATTGTCACAGAACCAATGGTCACCAATTACCATGGAAGAATTATATATACTTTTAGCCATAACTATACTACAAGGTATAATTAGAAAGGCTGAGGTAAGGATGTATTGGTCCAAAGGTGAGACTTTTCAATCACCTATTTTTTCGAAACTCCTTAGCTTTCACTATTCTGAGATAAAAAGATATCTTCACTTCTCTAACAATGAAATTTACGATGCTGAGATTCACCCCAAAGCTCAATAAGATATGGCCTGTATTCAGTGCTTAAATTGCGCAGCTCCGGTGCTTCTCAATTTTTAAGATAAATTACAATTTTAGGCGGAGCGCACCGAAGCCCTGAATAAGATTTATAAAACTGAATATTTATTTTTATAAAACTGAACCACAATTTAAAGGGAAAAAAATTTAGAATTCCTAAGGTTCTGAGGCGTAATGGCAGGCCACACATTGAGTTGAACAGTGTTAAGCAAATTTCGCTTGCTGCGCATGTGTGATGGTGTACCTTTGGCGCGGGGAGAAATATTGGCGACTAAGCAAACCTACGCTAGCTTATTCGTGATCTCCATGGCTGCCGAGTGTGGTCGAGTTATGTTTATAAATGCAATGCTGTAGAACATTGTTTATTAGTCATTTTGACGTCTGTACCGATTGCATTTGCTTATTTTTCTAATATTATGTTTCATTTTAATTTGTAAATAACAATGCATTTAATATTTGTTAACATATGTTGTGCATAATAATTCGTTATTTAGATGTAATTTGTTTACATGTTATAATTCAGTAATGTAACCTGGATTTTCTCGCTTAGTTTGTTAATTTATATTCACACTTTTATTTTCTTATTTCAAAGAAAATAAAAACAGTATTCTCTCCAAGCAGTGGGTGATTCTGCACTTTCCCCCTTATTTTAACACAGTAATTACTTTACATTGCACATATACTCTACGAAGACTTTAACGCCAGATTTGTTGAGAACATGAGACATTCAAGTAAAGTCCTCTCACTCACATGCAGAAACCTTTCCCTTTAAGAAGGGCAATAAATTTGGGGGAGTTTGTTTAGGAACACGTAAATTTCTCGCCATGCCATTGTATCTATGTGTTGTTATCAATGTTTACAGTTAGTTATCTCGCAGGAAGGAAAATTTGTGTTCCTAAATGTGCGTTAAGTGAAAGCGAGTACAATAAGAGTGAAATACTGAGATAAACTGCTCAAGCATGTCCTATACATCATCTTCCCACAGTATCCACTAATGGGGGGGAAGCGTAACCAGCAACTTTACATTCATCCTAATGTGTCGGATTCAGAACTCATTTTAACCCTGACACACTTCTTCTTAATGGCTATAATTATATCAGCAGACAGCCGTGGTCAAAGAGAATGTTCTCTCTCACCAAGATTCCCCTCATTTCTTGTTTCCACCCACTCACACCCTCATTCTGTTTCGCCCTGTTTTAGCATTATCCTAATTTTCGTCAGCTATACTTTAAGCATATTTAATTTTTGTGATAATTTTCCCCTACAATCAGAGTTTAAGATTGGGCTGGAGCTCACCTGATCCCGGCTCCTATGCTCCTTAGTTTTGGTAAGAAATCATAATTCTAGCCGGAGCCCACCGGATTTTGTTCTTAGTTTTTGTAATAAATCTTAATTCATAGCATTAACTGAATAACAAATTTCAGTAGAAATTTTTACCTCGAAAATTTTATTTTTTAACAATAAAACTATATTTAAAATCGCTTATTAAATTTCAATTTATCTCTTTACATTTTATGTTAGTTTTAACTATTTAATTACTTCAATCTTTAATTATTTCAAGAAATAACAAATTATCTAATAATTATCAATTAAATTGTAATTAATTAATTATATAATAATTATTAATTAAATACATATTTATATACATTAATTAAATATCTATTAATTAATTTGATAATAATTAACTATTTAATTTTAAAATTATGAGTTTAATAGTCATTGTATTTATTTATTTACTCTTGTTCCTCTTTGCTGATGGTCTTCCATAGGGTTCCGGAACTTATAATCTTAGAAATTAAGCCCGCCTGTATTTGACTGTATAAATGAAAAGTGTTCTTATCTATATACACCGGAAAGAGATATCACAATTGACGAAAGTCTACTATTGTATAAAGGGCAAATGAAATAGAAGCAATATCTACCACTGAAACAAGCTCATTTTGGAATAAAGATGTACTTTCTTTGTGAATCAAAAACGGTTTCCTTATATTCATCCATTATAAGTACTGGAAAAGGAACAAATACAAGCTATGTATATCGAGAAATGCAGGTATCAATTCAAGTGGTGTTGTCACTGATTGAACCATTATTAGATAAAGGTGCTGTTTGATGACTGACAACTTTCATACTTTTCCACAATTAGCGGATTTCCTAGTGAAACGTCAAACAAATACCTATGGAACTCTGAAAAGTACCAGAAAAAAAGTTCAATCTGAAATTAGAAAAAAAAAAAAAAAAAAAAATTGAAAAAGGGAGATGTTATAGCATTTCAAAGAGGGAAAATAATGCTGATGAAGTGAAAAGACAAAAAAGATGTCTGTATGCTTTCAACAATCCACATCACACAGCAGGAAAATACAAGTAAATCAGCCAATGATGGTACTCAAATAAAGAAGCTGAAAGTTGTAATTGATTACAACGATACAGTGGGAGGCGTTGATCGGCATTTGCGCGATTACCTAAGAACAAGAAAATGAGGAAAAAGGTACTATAAGAATATATTTTTCCATCTTGTATATATATCCGTATGGAATTTCATTTATATTATATAAAAAAATGGAGGAAAACGGGCCCATTTAGAATTCTGTAAAATGCTTGTGGAAAAATTAATTTAAGAATACCATTCAAAAGTGTTACCCAGAAGAATAAGTCTGCCTGGTTATCAACCTGGGCCTTTGAAACTAACCGAAAGGCACTTTTCTGAATTTGTGCCACCGACAGAAAAGAAAGCGGCCCCTTGTAGAAATTGTGCCTTCCATTGCAGTAAGAGATGAGAAAGGTAAAAAGATAAGGAAAGAAACAAGATACTATTATAGGGACTGTAATGTTGGACTTTGTGCAATACCATGCTTCATGCTATGTTATTATATCAAACTGAATTTTTAGTCATTCTTATGCTTGCGAATATGAAAATTCAATTTAATTCGATTTTAATAATTTGAAATTAAAAACAAGCATGTAATCGAATTGTTTACACTTTGTTTGTATAATATATGCATTTTTTAAATATCTTTTAACCCACCCTCTCTTCCCAGTCAACTCCCACCACTGAAACTGGGGGGGGGGATTTGTTATTATACCTATATATTCATTTTCTGTCCAAAAAAAAACTGGATAATTTTTTACCAGTTTTTCCGAAAAAAACTTGTGATTAATTTGAAGGTTAATTTCAGGTTGTTACATAACATAGAAGGATCTTGAATTTGGCAGAACAGATGAATCAGGGGGAGAGCACCATATCTAGAATATTAATTTTGAGGTCGCAAATTATTTTTAAAGCAGCTTTCATATTTTCTTATATCCTACATATTATGCATCAAAATTATTACATATATAAATCTAAAAATCTGAGTTTTGATATTAATTTTTGTACTGTTTTTTTTTCTTCTCTCCCAGGAATTTTTATTTGATCGAATGTGTATAATTGTGTTTTTGGAAATTTTAATTTTATTTAATTATTAATTCATCTGTGTGACTGACTGTTTAATTTCAATTTTATAAATTATTTTATGTACTTTTTACTAAATTTAATTTTATAAAGAAAGATGCATAAATTATTTTAATAAATTTTTCTTTTTATATTAATTGAAAAACTTGTTGAAACTTAACTTTCTATGCATATTTATGTATTGAATTTAATTGTATAACTATAAATTAGCAGAATTTTCTCATTTAAATTACTACAACACCATTTGAAATACACTTTAAAATGAAAATAATTATTGTAAATTATTAAATTACAGTGGCATTAAGCAAATATTTTATTTTAAAAATATATTTTAATATTTGTTCTTTAAGAACATGAAGTTGTATTTATATATAATAAAAATATTATATAGAATATTTCTAGAAAAGATTATGAAACTCTTTCTCAAATGCATTTCAGAAAATATTATTGAAGAAGCAAATTCTGTATTTGAAGATGTAGTAGAAGAATTTGGAACGCTAGAAGGAGTCATGATAAATTTTGAGAAATGGAAATATGAGCAAATTGACTCATATTGTGAAGCATTTGTGCCTCTTTGTTTACCTAAAATTTTTGGTACATTTGTGAAATTAGCTCTTTTAGACTGGAATCCTTTGACGGTATTAATTTTTCTCTTTTAATTATTGTGGCATTTTTAGTCTTTAAAGTAAAATTTGTATACTGTAGAATTCCAACTATGTGGGTCGCATTTTGCTATGGGATTTAAAATAATGCTTGTGGTTTATTAGTTTGTATATTCTTAATTTCTTATTGTTCTAAATAATATGGCAAGTTAATACAATACAGTACAGACTTTTTTACAAGCTATTAAATTTATTTATTAGCTGGTTTAATAAGTAACTAAGTGATTGTTACCAACATATCAATTGGCTTACAATGTTAATCAAACATGCAATCTAATGAGAAAACAATAATGTATTTCAATAATTAATAAGAAAACAGTAACATCTTTCATATAGAGCTGTTCTTTGCTTTAATGCTGATTTTATATAGCAAGCCCTTTTTTCTCTAAAGATAGGCTAAACAAATGGGATAGCATTTTTTTTTTTTTTTTTCCAGCTTACATCTGTTTTTGTCTACTATGAGCATAACTATATTTATTTGTTTTTCTTAAGTATTAAATAAATGTAGTTATGCTATGTTATATGAGCTAACTACATTTATTTATTAAAGTCTGCTGGGATATACTTAAGACAGATTTTTCTTTATTGTGTGATTGAAGGTGTAATATCATCTTAAGCTGAGTGTAAACTATAATATTTTAATTTTTTAATTGGTGCTAATTTTATGTATTTTTTGTTTGTACGTTTTTATTAAAATATGGGGGAGATGAAGGCATACTAGTTATATGAATTGTCCAAATATCCAGATGGGCCAATTACAGTTTGTCTAGGTCAATCATTCCCAAACTGTACTCTGGGGAGCTGTAACTTCTTAAAAAGGTGCCTTAAAATATTGTAAAAGCTTCATAATTAATTGAACCAAGACATTCAGCCTAATGAAAAAAAAAGGGGGGTGAGAATCTATTACTTTTACTTCACCCTGTATAAAAGTAAAGTCACCAGTGCAGAATATTCTTGTGAACACGAGTTGACAATGCCGTGCTTTCTCAATAAGACCATATGATCACGCTGTATTTCATGACAATCTAACATGAGTCTAGAACGACCTTTTCATGGCTTATTCTGTAAAAAGAAATCATGGAGTTTTCTTCATATTATTGCTAAAGTTAGCTTGTCATGTTGTTTGATTCAGGTTTATGTGTACTGACTTTCAGAGGTCATATTTTTCCCTGGAAATATAGGAATATGAAATGAATGAAACAAAGTCGAAAATCCATTTTCTTTCACATCAGATTTCATGCAATTTATGCTTGTCACAGAAACACCAGTCAAATCAGCAGCAAAAGTACAATTTTGTTACTGATTTATTAGCAAAATACTCCCATAATTTGACAAAAGCATCCATAACAATAATCTTGGCAGAATTGCATAATGGTTTTCTAGCCTTGTAAGGTTTTGAAATTATACACATACATCAAAGATGAAGCAGATGCCATAAGAATTGCTTTCTTCTCCTGCTAGTGAATGAGTGAATGTGTTAGTTGCTTTTCTCATCAAGAGTGGGGTGAGGTTGGAGTTGTTGGAATTTGCAGTTTTGCCAATACTGCCAAAAAAAGGGATGTTTTCTTATTGATCATTAATGATTGATATATTAGCAAATTTTAAAATCAAAAGTTGAATGCAACATAATCTATATATTTTTCATTCTCTTCTCTTTGCTTAACAATATTTATATTTCATACTGTAATGTTTTTAATGCAACATCTCGAGCTGGTTGAACTTTATTATACGTCAGATGTGTACATCTTCTACTAGATCCAGTGTTCTCGATCGTTATTATAGACATGTCAAGGTGCATAGACCCTTCTTGACAGATTTGGACTGCTCTGGAAGATCTTGTGAAAAATATATAAGATAGCTCATATAGATATGTAGGTCAGTCAGAAAATGCACTTCAGCAGTTGCACTACTGCGTAAATATGTTACGTCTAAGACTATTTGGATGATACTGTGTGGCAACACTTCAGACATGTACCTTTATCATGTGATGTAGCAGCTTCCCTGAGGCAAGTTTAGTTTTTCTGATAATCAGTCGCAAAACATGTCTCGAGACAGCTTCAAATAGCGTCCGAATTGGAAATGCGTGCAGTGAATCTTTTTTTTTGGGGGGGAGGAGCAAAAAGGTGCAACTGCATTGAAATTTATGGGCAGTTGCATGAAGTATAAGGTGAAAATGCAATGTCACGTCAAGCTATCGCGAAATGGTGCAACATGTTTGAGAATGGGCGTACAGATATTGACGCCGCTGAGCACGAGGGAAGACCATCAACTGCAACAAATTCGGAAATCGAATGCATTCTTACAAACAGACGCATAACAATAGACGAAATCTCAAATAAAATGGATATTTCTCATGGAAGTGTGCATAAAATTATTGCCGATCACCTTAAATTTCGTAACGTTTGTGCTTGATGGGTGCCACGTCTATTGATGGAGGAACATAAAGGAAAGTGTTTTGAAAGTGCATTTGCATTTCTGCAATGCTACCAAATGGAAGGAAATAAGTTTTTGGACAAAATTGTGACTGGAAATGAAACTTGGATTCACCACTTCTTACCTGAAACAAAATGCAGCTCGCTCGAGGGGAAAATTGCAGTTCCCTGACACAAAAAAAGTGTCGAACTGTTCCATCTGCAGGAAAGTTGATGATGATGCTGTTTTTCAACAGAGAAGGCGTGGTGCATACAGAGTACATGCCAAAGGGTGTCACAATTAATGCATCTTCTTATTGTGAAACACTAAAATGATTGTGACAATTACTTAAAAATCAACGGCCAGGTAAATTGTCAAATGGATTGTGCTCCTGCATGATAATGCAAGACTGAATGCGACAAAACAAACGTGTGACCTTCTGAAAAAGTTTAGGTGGGAAGGGTAAAATCACCCTCTTTATAGCCCAGACCTTTCACCTCCTGACTTCCATGTGTTTCATCTCATGAAACAAGAACTTTCAAAGCGACGGTACAATTCAGATGCCGAAGTAAAAGCTGCAGTCCAACAATGGTTATCGGACACTGGACGGGATTTCTTTGCAGAAGGCATGGAAAAACTTGTACCATGCCTCGACAAATACTTAAATACTGGAAGTAATTACATTCAAAAGTAGATTTTGAATGGAACTTTAAGATATAAATAAAGTTATTGCACAATTTTGCTCCTGTTTTGTTTTCTTAGATAGTGTAACTAACTTTTTGACTCACCCTCATATTTCTTTGCTCAGCAATATATATTTCATACTGTAATTTTTACAGTATGACATCTCGAAGTAGTAGACCTATATTCTATGGCGTACGCATGCACTTTCTACTATATCCAGTGTTCTTAATTTAGGTTGACTATGAATATAGACATGTCAAGGTGCATAGACCCTTCACAACAGATTTGGACTCTTCTGGAAGATCTTGCAGAAAACATAAAAATAGCATTGCCAGTTAGATTCAGTCAGTCGGTTTGTAATTTATGTCTAGTAAAATTTAACTCGGCGCTTCATATAAATAAGCAGTGATATAAATTAGGTCATGTTGTTAATCTTATATAACTTCTTGTTTGTTGTTTTTGATAAATAGTGTTATGATTTTTTGACGTATCTTTGATGTTGGACTAATTTTGGAATAGTAATAAACATAATGGTACAGATAAAGAAAGTTGTTTTCAACCAGTGGGATGCCTATCAAGAGATGAAAATATAGTAAATATGATGATGGTTATTTAGAGTTTGATTTTATGTCAACAGAAATAAATGTTGAAGAGAGACCACAATGTGTATAGTGTGTGAAAGTTTTGGCAGCGGAGTGTATGCTTCCAAGATACCTGAAGTGCCATTCAAAAGCTAATCACCACAACAATGGTTGGCAAATCTTGAAGATTTTTTGCCAGGAAGTTAAAAGAATTGAAACAAACAAACAAACAAACAAACAAATTTTTTATAACTGCATGAATGCACCAGTACCAAACAATGCCACCAAACAAGGTGGTTTACAGAATCACCAAATATAAGAAGCCTCATAGCACTGCAGAACTTATTCTCCTGGCTCCTATAGATATGGTGAACATCATACTTGGTGAATCTGCTGGGAAGTTGCTTTTAAAAGTGCGTTTGTCCATTAACACAATTATTAGGAGACTACAACATATGGCGGAGGATATCAGTGATTAATTAATTGGAAAAGTTAAAGGAATGAAATTGCAGCTAGATGAGGCTACAGATAATAACATGGATGCTCATTTGATAAGCTATTTATATGATATGTTTTGTTTACAGATGATAATAATATTAAGGAAGGCCTTTTTTGTAAAAATATTACTGCTGCAGCAAAGGCTGAGGACTTGTTCGATATTCTTCATATATTCATATCTGAAAATAATATGAATTGGGCTTAAGTGCGTTAGTATCGGTACTCATGAAGCTTGCTGCATGTCCTATGAAGGATTATAGACACTTATTCAAAGCAAATCTCCAAATGTACTGTGGATCCATTATATTATTCACACAGATTAACTTGTGTCAAAGCATCTGAGCCCTGCACTGAATCAGGTGTTAGAATGTGCTGTGAATGTGGTAAATTTTTAAAAATCTCATCCATTGAAAGGAAGGATTTAAAAAAACTGTGTGAGAATATGGGAGCCAAACACTGATCTTTGTTGTATTATAGCAGTGTACGCTTGTTCTCTTGTGGTAATATTTTATTAGGTACATTTGAATTGTGGCAAGAATTTTTTATTTTCCTTAAAGGGGAAGGGTACAGAGATGCAGAAAATTTTGCTTATGTCGATGTTTTTTTTTTTTTTTTTTTTTTTTTTTTTTTTTTTTTTTTTTTTTTTTTTTTTTTTTTTTTTTTTTTTTTTTTTTTTTTTTTTTGTTTTTTTTTTTTTTTTTTTTTTTTTTGTTTTTTTTTTTTTTTTTTGTTTTAACAAAACTGTCATTTATGCAACATTTCTGAAAAGTGGATTTCTCTTAATATCTCTCTGCAGGGAAAAATATGCATCTTTTGAAGTCAGTGGGAAAAATATCAGCTTTTATGGAACTAAAACTCAAACTATGCAGAAGAAAATCGAATGAAAATGCAAGCAAAGATTTTTTTTTAATATTTCATAAATCTTAATGTCAAATGAGCTTGATCTTTATCAAAATATAAAAATCATGTTTGAAGGGCACTTACCACAGTTAATTATCTGGTTTGAGAAACACTTTCACAATGGAAATATTGCATGGATTCAAGATCCATTTAACACTAGTGCTCCATCTGAATTTACTTTTACGGAAGAGAATTTTATCAAGCTATCTTGCAACAACAGTTTAAAAGCAACATTTGGCAGCATGGAATCGACAGAATTTTGGATTTCACTAAAAGATGAATCGACATTGTATTTGTGCAAAGTTTGGTTTGCTGCAGTCACTGTAATAGAAAGCAAGTATAGAGCAAAAATTAACATGGAAAAGGAAATGAAGGTGGACATATCCAGTTTATTTCCATGATTTGAGAAAATATGCCAGTGATTTTTCAGGCTCATCTATATCACATTGATTATTAATTTATTAATAAATTTTAAAAAGATACATGAAGATACGTAAGTTTTATTAGTCCAAAGGGGCTTTGTCCCTGAAGAACTACTGTTTTCATTTTGCATTGTATCACTCTCAATGTCCATTTCACTTTTCAAACTGTTGCCACCAAATAATCTAATTGCCCTGTATTATATTTGGAGAAATTAGATAATGAAGAATCTGCATAAATTATGTATGTTTCTCACATTGTGATTAAACAACGGTACCTAGAGCCATCAAATTTTGAATGACTTAATCCTACTACGAATATGGGCATCTGGAAGCCGATATTTGAAGTCTGGAATTAAATCGATTTCCTATTTTGTAAAACTTTAATGAATTTTTCATTAACAAACTCAAGGATTTCAAAGCGAGCAATGGCAACATTGTACAGAAAAAATATTTTTATCTTCAGCGCGTGAGGATCTTCAGCGTATCGGAAATTCTAAAGATATGCTCAATTTAAAATTATTTTGCGATACTGCTCTTGAACTGATGGTTTAAGTGTGAAGAACATGATATTTAATAAATAAAGGTAACGCACAAAATGTTGAAAAAACGCCCCTTTGGATATAATTTAAAATCTGAAGCTTTTCAGATTTTTCTTTCTCTCTCTCTCTTTTTTTAAAAATCTTTTACATGCAATTAGTCATACTTTTACTTAGGGTAGGGCAGCATGGAAAAATTTTAATTGAAAAAAGGCACTGTAATTTGGAAAAGTTTGAGAACCACTGGTCTAGATAATTGACATTCTAAAATATTAAATGCTACAGTGTATGGACAAAAATATGGAACACCTTGTGAAATGCATGTTTGAAAAGAAAGATTGATTTTAATGAAATATGTAGGTGGCGCTGGCATTTTTGACTACTGACGCCACCTATACAACTTCGTAAATGTGCTAAACAGTTCAGTTGTTGTCGGAGTACTGTTATGTGAGGTTGTCATTGCATTATGTCAGAGTTAACAGACTTCGAACGTGGGCAAATTGTTGGAGCACGTATGGTAGGTGCTTCCGTAAGCAAGGTAGCTGAGGTGTTTAGTGTTTCAAGAGGTACTGTATCGAAGATTTATTCTGCATATTTGAAAAGCGGAAAAACATCATCTGCTAAATCACAGCGCGGACGAAAGTGTGTCCTGAGTGATCGTGACATACGATCATTAAGGGCAATTGTGACGAAAAATAAGAAGGTCACAGCTGCAAAAGTTACTGCTGAAATGAATGTTGTGTTACCGAACCCTGTGAGTACCAAAACAATTAGAAAGGAGCTCCATAAACAGGGAATTGCTGGCCGTGCTGCAATTGAGAAGCCACTCATCAGTGATGCCAAAGCCCGTAACAGGAAAAGGTGGTGTTTAAGTCATAAAGCCTGGACTATAGAGCAGTGGAAGCGAATAATATGGTCTGACGAGTCTTCTTTCACATTGTTTCCCACTTCTGGCCGAGTTTACGTCTGGAGAACGCCATCTCAAGCCTATAATACAGACTGCTTATTACCAAGAGTGAAACATGGCGGGGGTTCTGTTATGGTTTGGGCAGCCATATCGTGGTTCTCTGCTAGCCCCATGATAACTGTGTCAGGGCACATGACTGCCAAGACTTATGTGAACATTTTGGCCGATTAAGTTCATCCCATGGTACAAACTTTGTTCCCTGATGGTGATGGTGTCTTCCAAGACGACAAAGCCCCTGTTCACACAGCTCACATTGTCCAGGACTGGTTTTCTGAGCACGAGGATGAGTTGTCCCATCTCCCCTGGCCACCAGTCACCAGACCTGAATATTATCGAACCTTTGTGGTCTACATTGGAACGGAAAGTGCATTCTCGTTATCCACCGCCAACATCGTTATCTAAACTTGCCACTGTTTTGCAGGAAGAATGGTATAATATTCCCTTAGCAAACATACAGGAACTGTATTTATCCATTCCGAGAAGACTGCAAGCTGTTTGGATGCCAACAGGTTTCCTACACCATATTAAGCAAAGAAACAAGTTTTTTTAAAGGTGTTTCCATATTTTTGTTCAACCCCTGTATGTAATGTCATGTTTAAAATAAAAATGAAACATTTCTATCATAAGGATAATTTTTAGCTTTTCATCTCTTCTGCAGTTATTTAGCTTAAATATTTTTATTCTTTTTTAGTTTATAAAAAAGTTTGTTTTATCTAATGTTCAGAAAAACCATACCTTCTTGTTTTCCTTTTATTGTTAACCTTCTGAGTGGCATTTTTTGGGTCTACTACCAAATGCCAAAAAAATCTGTCAACTGGATAAAGGCAGTCATGCCACTCAGAAGACTAAGAAAGCTTAGGAAAATTACCTGACTTCTAATGTCTCTAACGTTCTGAGCTTTCTTTGTCCTTTAGGAATGTTAAGAAGATTTTGTTTAATTCAGTTTTAAATTCAAAAAAATTTTTCATGAGCATAAATTATTCTTTTTAAACAATTTTTATAAAAAATATCTATTTTTGTGAATCAATATAACATTATATAGTGCTTTCTGTAAAATATTTCAAACCAATTTATATGCATTTTATTTTACCTAAGGAATCTCTTATATGGCATGTAAAATAGGTATGTTATGTGAAATATGATCTCTTAAAAATGATTATTTGAATTAATTTGTGTAATACAGTGCAAAGTCTCAAATCCGGACGTCTGTAATCCGGAGTGATCTATAATCCGGACCTCAAAGCTACAAACTTTATGCACATGTGTAAACGCATTATGCACATGCATAAACTATAATGCATTTACGCATCCACATATGCATGTTTACGCATGCAGGTTTAATGCATAATGGATGGTATAAGGCTAAAATTATCTAAAGCATTTCAGTTAATATTGCAGATTGCCCTGTTCCTTAATCCTCTAATTGGATCCGGCTTATTATTTTTTGCAGACTGTTAGAGCAATTTTATAAAAAGTAAGCTTGAACTTTCGATTATGTCAAAAAGAGTTTCAAATTCTGGAGCTGCCAAAGGATCTACAAAGTGTAAGCATGTTTTGATGTCCATCAAACAAAAAGTGGAATTGATGCAAAAAATGGATAAAGGCATATCCATCTCAGAATTATGCGAGGAGTATGACATTGGAAAGTCAACTGTATATGACATAAGCAAAAAGAAAAGGAATTTTTTGAATATTTTGTGGATTCTGACACCTTACTTGCAATGACTCACAGGAAAAGGATTCATTATGCTAAAAGTGACAATCATGACAAAGTGATGAATGTTTAATAAAGTAAACAAATAAATATTAAGCTTTTTTTTTTGTAAACTTTGATACCCTTTAGATCATAATTGCTCTTTATTTCATAAATTACGGTTTCATATTTTTAATTGTATAACTTCTGCATGCCATCTCACCAGATTTAAATTGATGATCTATAATCCGGAAAAACCCCTAATCCGGAATCGCCGAAGTCCCGACGAGTCCAGATTACGGACTTTGTACTGTAACAAGTTTTTGAAGGAATTAGTTTTAGTATTTTATATTATTATTGCTAATTCTTTTATTTTTAGGATGAAAAAGATTTTGAAAAATCAAGTTGGTATCGCCAACTAGTTTATTATGGTTATAGTAACTTAAAATTGAAAGATAATGATTCTGAAGATCCAGACACAAATTTATTGCCTGGAATTATGGAAAAAATTGTGCTACCTAAAATAACTGGTATAATTTTTACATTATTAATTATTAGTAAGTCTATGTGCATTCTGCACCTGAAACATGAATATTAAAATTAGACTTTCTCATTAATAATCCCAGGATTTATTCAGAATGTTTGGGATCCTCTTTCAAGAAAAGAAACATCTAAACTTGTGAAGCTGATTACAGATTTACATGAAAATTATCCAACCATCAATGGTAAAAGTAAACAGCTTCAGGTAAATCATTCTAATTATAGATTCATAAATGCAGTTTTATTTTGCAAAGGTCAGTCACCCAGTCTGTTGTCTATTTTCTTATTATTTGAAAAAGAAACATGTTGGAAACAAGATGTCATATGCCTAAGCATACATATACTTTTAGACCTCACTTTGTCAATTCAGAAATAAATTTAAAATTTTCTGTAGCTATCTTAAGACCTATTCTTGGAAATTACAGTGCTCTTTCTCTTCGCAATAAAATGATGTTACATAAATCAATCTTTTCAGCCTTACTTTGTACCTTCACAGTATAGAGATATGCTGGGGGGATTTCTATAAAATACAAAAATCTGCAAAAATTCAGCTCTTAAATAGGTTTATAAGTATGCATACCAATTTAAAAATCAAAATCAACAAAAAAATTCCTTTGCATAACAGCTCACAATTTTTACTGCAATTTTAAACTTTATCAAAGTACTATAATTTCATTTCAAAATCATGAACTATGAGCACAAAAAAGACCTGTGTACTCATCTAATGCTCTTATTTTGTAATAATTAACATCATTTTAAGGAGTGGCACTTTGTTGTTTTTCACATGCACACACAAATAAATACAGTCAAATACCTAAAATCTGCATTGCCTCTCAAAATGTAAACATTGAGTTTATAGGTTCCGGAAACCACAACATGGAGTACGAAATATCGAAGAAAAAATATTTATCGAATAATGACATCATAATTACCGAATAACAACGAGTCATAACGGAAATAGCAAATTATTGACATCATGATAAAAGTGTTTTTCCCTGCAATCTGCGTTGAGGTAAAAAAGCAGACGATTCACTCAACTGTTCTTTCAAGTTCACGATTCACGTTGTTGTATTTTCTGAACTTTGTTATTTCACGAGAATGTTTAGTGCTGCCTTTTTTTGTTTTATCCGGATATTTTGTGGATAAATTAAGAATATTTTAAATTTCAGCACTTTTTAATACAATGCCAGATAAGAAACGCACTCATGATTTTACTGCTTGCAACATTGAAAAACGTTCTCCGTGTGACGAAGGGGGCACACGTGAAAGTTCATTGACTAGAGTTATGAAACTTTTTGAGTCTATCTAACCATTTATGGTATTAATTTTAATCTATCTTTATTATTTTATGAGTTATTAAACATCAAAATGGGTCCGGGACTTTTAAACACCCTGTATATTATACAAAAGTATGAATATGTTTTAGTTATGCTGATGTAGTTATTATTGTCATCATCATTATATACAAAAGTATGAATATATTTTAGTCTAGTTGATGTTGTTATTATTATTATTATCATTATTTTGGCTGGAGCATGTTTTAAAATGTAATTTTATCTTTTAGACCTGTCTCAAAGCAGTTACAACTCGAATATATAAGGCTTTAGATGATGATGTATTTATACCACTCTATCCCAAAGAGTATGTAAATAAAAAAGCTCTTTTTTATATAAATTTTTATAATGCATATTATTATTTTTTTATGTCTGCAGTCAAAAGTGTTCTTTTCAATACAGATATATTATTTTAGAAGATAAAAAAGCAGAAAGCAAGAAAGCAATTTTTATAATTGTTATCCATTTATAGATGAATTATTACACAAAAATTAGCTGTTAGTTTATGACAGGTCTGTGTCACTTGCTCATTATTTAGTAGTTGATTTTATAATTTGTGGCTATGTATATCAAATGCTTTGTATTATTCATTCATTTGATTAAAATGTTTTTATGCTTTTTAATAGGTGAAAGGTTTTTAGTAATTTTCATTCCTTGTAAATTTTCCTACTTTAATTCTGACAACCAGTGATAGCAAAAATTTCACTTGGGAAATGGCTGTAAACATCTTTTGACAAACGAGGGAAATGTATATTGTCCTCCCCCCCAAAAAAAAACCACTTTTTATGTGATTAGCGTTTATAGGTATTATAAAAAAAAATAGATATGTTGAAGGAACAGCAAATAAGTAATTTCTTCATCCCCCTACTTAAATCTTTTGTTATAGATACAAAGAAAATGCTGTAAAATAACTAAAAGGAAAACATGCTGACTTCAATATTTTTCGACCGAAAGTTTAAAAACAAGAACTGACATTCAAGAAGCAGAGTTCTCTAGCTGGCCTACTGATTTGATGAGGCTCACCTGCGAGAATTTGTGGAAGAATATCAGTATGCAACTACTCTAGTGCTTGCTAAGACATTAGGGCCATGTCCAATAGTCACACTATGCATCGCATAAACTTGATGTACAAGTTCATTCGCTGGGTGCTGCATGAACTGACTCAAGCAGGACAAGCTGCTCGAATATCATCACAAGGACAAAATTCCAGACCACATCATCACTTGTGATGAAAAGTTTAATTACATCAACAACACTGACTGAAATAGGGATTGGTCTGTGCTGGGTAAGCCTGTTGGGAGCATCACAAAGTGCAATTTGACTAACAAAAATATGCTTTGTATCTGGCGGGACTGCTGTGGTATTAGAAGAGTATCTTGGAAAGGTAAAACCCTCGACAGTAAGATGTTCAACGAGATGCTAGTCCATGCTGACACTGCTATCAAGGGAAAACATCAGACTGAGTTCTGGTGCAAAAAGATAATGTTCCATCAAAATAATGCAAGACTACATGGAAGCTCTACAGCCTGGAATGGGATCTTTTGCTGCAGTCACCATATAGCCCTGACATCACTCCTTCAAACTTCTACCTTTTTTCACACCTGCAGCTACATCTTGCTGGTGCTATCTTCCATTCTGCAGAGGACATCTGAAATGAAGTTGATCTGTTTTTGGACTTAAAGGTACCAAATTTCTGGGCCGAAGGCTTTGAACAAGTACCAAAACGTTGCAGAAAGTCATAGATTTGGGTGGTGATTACTACCTGCACTAATGGTACTGCTTTCATGTTTTTTTTTTTTTTTTTTTTTTTTTTTTTTAACTTTATTTTGACCATTTTTTGGCAAAAAACTTTTGTTATAACCAGATATGTTATGAAGTCATTGTTTGGAAAAAATAGTTGTAAGGTGTGCTTAATCTGTCTGACTGAAAATAACCATTAAGGTCTGTAATGGTAATGGCAGACTTGTTGAATCAAAGTAGCTTCTTTAGTGCCAAAAAACTTGGCATGTAATGTTTACAAATAAGCAGAATAAATTGTTTGCATGTTAAGGAAGAAATTATATCAGAAGTGATTTACAATTCTCAAAATATGTAATGAAGATACCCATTTTTTTTTATAAGGTAATGTTCTTTGATGAAAGCAAATTTAATTATTGAGTCTGATGGCAGGTAAGCTGTGTGGTGGTGGTGGTGGTGGGGGGGGAAGTGAAAAGGGAAAAGCCAATGATGTAAAGGGAAATAATCACTGACCTAATATGAAGTGGGTTAGTTTGGAGTTGCAGAAGAATAATGTGTGTGTTGATGGAATTATGGGCAACCTAATGCATAATATTCTGAAAGAAAACCTGGGTCTTTCTACTGCTCAGATATGTATATATCAGATATAATGTTTTAGACCAATTTTTTTCTTTGAACTAGATAACTAATCCAAATAAAAGAATGCATGATATTAAACTGCATCTGGTCTATGATCCAGCAAAACAGTTCATCTCCTGGTCATTTGAAATGAATCCATGGAATAATTATGAATTTTTTTTAACTCTTGAGTTTGAAAAAATACATATATTAAAAACAATTATATAAAAAATGTGTTTAGGAAAAGATGGATATTTGTTGCAGCAGAAGACATAAAACTTTAGTAGAATCGATGACAAGTATAAGAATTGCAAACAAATCTTCACAATGTATTTAAGGAAAAAATTCAGTGACTTTTTTTAGACCAAAGTAGGTATGCTTTCAGGTATACTTCCGTCATGCTTGCCCTTACTGTGCAGGGTGCAATTCTGTATAATATCCAGTCACCTTTGGTCTTCCTGTACACTACCCTGACCAGCCAACATCATATCGAAGACATTCTGCAGCCTCTGATAGTACTTTTGCTCTTGGGCTTACCAAAGCTATTTTCCAATCAGATAATGCCCATCCACACACAGCTTATGTCAGTAGCTATGGCAGGCCTCCCATGAACATCCCAATCACCCAACCTCTCCCTGATTGGACACATTTTGGATATGACCGCCTGCCAGTTCCAGCCTTCACATTATATATCTGACATGGCTTCACAGTTGCATTGAATTTGGTGAAACATCCTTCAGGACAGCATAAAATGCTTATATGCCTCTGTCACATTGCATTTGTATATGCATCAGTGTTCGAGATGGCCATATGCCATATTAATCTACAATGGTTTTGAATTACTCTTGCCACAATTAATTATGTTACTGATTCATCAATTATTCTTGTGTTTTTTGTATTGTCTCCTCCATACCTTGACCAGTTTCACCATGATCCACTAGCTGGTTTTTCATGTTTTTTAATCCTGAATATATTATTAGTAGAAACAAACTTGGAAGTTGATTTTATGGAAAATCTAGTTCACTAATTAACATTACATATATTATTATAGATTGCTAGAAAATCGTTCTCTCGGGGCTTCAGATTTCTTCCAAAGGCAGTTTTGGTCTTCTGTGAAAGTAAGTTATTATTTTTTTAATTATCTTGAATGCTTAACTTATACCTTTTTAAATTAAAGTTTTATAACTATAATTATAATAAATTTTATCAATGACTAAAAGTGAAGGTAAAACAAAACTTTGAGTGTCTACCTCCAAAAGTGATTAGTATCACAAAATCCACAAGTAAATAACGGTAGTGAACATCACTGATAATCTTGTTGAACACCTCCATAGGATTTTACTGAATATAATCACAATATTTTATATATAAAATTAATTAATCGTATAATATTTCATTCAAGTTATTTAGTTTCCTAAATGCATGCTATAAAAAGAGGTGAGCTTATTAATTTTATATAACAATATAAAATATTCATTTTTCTTATTCTTTTTGTATTCTTTTTGTATGTAGGCAGTTAAAAAATGAGGTATGAAAATTATTTAATAATATTGAATACCATTTTTGTGTTAATAAATTTTAAAGAAAGCTATGTTAATTTATTATATTTTAATCACAATAAATGTTAAGCCTTGGATCATCTATTAATATTGCCATGTTGGGAAACTTCGCCTTCAAATGAATGATAATATTAGCTAGTATGCCAAAATAGTGAGTCAAATAATGATTTACAAATTCACTGTAGTCTTGAACCTTCTTTAAAGTTGATGACCTTGTAAAATGTCAACTTTTATCTGTATTTAGAAAAAGATTATTAATGATAACTTTTTAAATGTTATGCTTCTGGATTGTTAACTATGTTAAAAAGGCACTAACAATAATATTTAATATTGGTTTTGCTATAGAGATGTACAGGTTTGTATAATTTTAGGGTACTGAATATAAAAGTAACAGTGATTTTTTCTCATTTAGAAGTAACAAATGGAAAAAAGTTAAACTGCAAAGTCTAGTAAGATTTCATTTCTTCTTCAAATACTATATCTTTTTACTCATCTTTTTAATTTTATAGCAATAATATACCTATATAATAGGATTATATATGCTTTTGTAGCACTTCTCAGTGATGACTATATCATGAATTAATCACTTGCCATGTTTAACAATGAATGAATCAAATTTAATGGAAAATACATTTAGAATAGACATAATAGATGATAAATTAAGATAATTAGACATAATAGACGATTTGTAGTTTTAAAGACATTCTATTGCCAATTTTTTTACTTATAAATGCCTTTATTTGCTAGTTGAGAGAAATTTTGTGGTGTTTTGTAACAGACCAATTAATATATTTTTTTTGGGGGGGGAGTGCAGTCTTTCAATCAACTCTACAGTTTTATATCCTTCTGTAACTGTTTGATCTGAGGAGTAGTAAATATTCTCTCTTTAATTTTTACATTTTACCATTGAAACTAGCTCATACGCAATGAACTGGATATCAAATGTAAATGCATCATCATTTCTATCAAAAACTTTCTCAAATTATTTCATGATTCTAAGTTTAATACACAGAAATTGAAGGATGATTCCATCTCCTTTATTTTAAAATAGACTCTTGTGTTCTTTTGGCTCAGTGTTCTACAAGGTCAATCCTCTTTCTTGTAATTTCTTTTAATCCAACTGCACTATTCATAAAAAAAAATTTAAAAAAAAGAGAGAGAGAGATAGAATTTAATTTAGTCTTGTAGCCGTATTAGTTATATCTTTAAAATTACAGCTAATAAATCACTTAGGAGTCTTTTCTCTATAAACCTTAAGAAAGTTTTCCATGAGTATATAGTTCTTTATTAACCCTTTGACGGGCGGTGGAAACTTGTACATCTATATTGAGAAAGAATAAAACTTGTACATCTATATTGAGAAAGACTTGGGAAAACATGTTTCATTTGCGCCAAAATGGAAAAATTTAAGAACCATTGATTAACTAAAAACCATTTCATGTTAAGCATGTTTGTGTTAAAAAAACTGAGAGCACTGTACTTTCAGTAAAATATGATGAAGAATAAGGAAATAATTCATGTTAAAAGTATTCACATTAATGAAATTTGACTGTACAACAATATATTATTTGTACATATCTTTATATACAAGACTAATGCATATCTTGAAACCAAACTATTTGCCAACATCTAATGTTATGAGTTATGACACAAAGAACAATAATTAGTGCTGGCTGCAGTGCAAGATAACACTGGAAGAAATTATTGATCTTACAAAGGGATCTGAAATGCCTAAAAATACAGCAGAAGAACTGGCTTTCAAACTAAAACAGTAGAATCACCTGCAGAAAGCACAAATGTCACTTTCTTTCATTGCTAACAAGATGATTTTGTGAAATTTGTTTTTGAAGATAGTGATCTTAGTTTCTGTAACAGTGTAGTTATGATAATTTTAGACACTGCATATAATATTATTATATGCCATCATTCTTATTATAAGAATGATGGCAATTTTTAATACATTCATCAGTTGCAATGCAGACGCTAAATCAGTTTTTGTCTCCCAGATGAAAGCTGTAAAATTCCATTTAAAATACACACAATTATGCCTTTAGTTTTCTAAATGTATAACAAATGGCAGCACTAGTATTAATTCATGGAAATAATGTAAAATAAAAATTCTTTGTTTGCTTCAAAATGTCTAATTTTGAAGCAGTTTTTTCTTCTTAATTTCTAATGCAGTTTAAATTGTCTGAACAACAACTTTTGGTGTTAGAATGAATATTTTTATGTGGAAGTTTCCTTTTTTAATAAAAATTACTATTTGAATTCATATATATTAATTAAGAATGGTTGAAATTGAAAGGTGGGACAAATATGACCCACCGCACATGTAGGAATTGCTGCTACTAGATGCCAGCATCGTTCAAATATTTTAAAATTCAAGTATCATGTTCATTTTTTATGTTGATAATGCAAATTTATACTTTTTAAAAAATTGCAATAATGTTAAAACTTGAAACATTCCGAAATAAATGAAAATATAACTCTGTAACATGAAATGTCATTGAATACTGAATGGATATGTGAGTGTGATTCACCATAGAAAAATATCCGAAGCAGAGGAAAGAGAGGTGAAATGTAAATAAACATGACAGTCTTCTAAATATCTTCCTTTTCAAACCTGTAACAAATAAAGTACTGGAGCAAAAATCTTCTCTGTTTCAAATCTATTATGAAATCATTAAAAAATATCTAAAAAGTCGAAGAGAAAAAGATTTTTTGAAATTTTTTTTTTTTTTTTTTTTACTATTATGATCAGTATTTTCTAGATAGTTATTCAAAAACGTTTTTATATGTTGCATTTTCATTTGGTTACTAAAACTATCACTTTAGATAAGTATATTAGGAGAATTTACGCTCAGGCAAAGATGCCATTTTGCTGCTTTAGATGTGTGGGGGGACAATCAATATCCCACCACGTCATGAATTACCTTAAAGGTTTACCTTTTTTTTTTTTTTTTTTTTTTTTTGCATGAAATAACATTGTATTAGGGGCTAATTATCTGTGTGTAAAGTTATTTGTTCCAAAAAAAAATTTTTTTTTTTTATGCACTGAACCTCAAAGGGTTAAGGGTTGCATATATAAGTGGAATTGAAGGCAGCATGTTGCCATTAAACAAAAGCATTGCCTGAACTGCAATTGCATTGCAACTGATGAATGTATTAAAAATTGCCATCATTCTTTTAATAAGAATGATGGCATATAATAATATTATATGCAGTGTCCAAAATTCATAACTACACTGTTACAGAAACTAAGATCACTATCTCAAAAACAATTTCACAAAATCAATCTTGTTAGCATGAAAGAAATGACATTTGTGCGTTCTGAAAGGTGATTCTACTGTTTTAGTTTGAAAGCCAGTTCTCTGCTGTATTTTTAGGCATTTCAGATCCCTTTGTAAGATCAATAATTCTTCCAGTGTTATCTTGCACTGCAGCCATCACTATTATTGTTCTTTGTGTCATAACTCATAACATTAGATGTTGGCAAATAGTTTTGGTTTTCTTCAAGATATGCTTAGTCTGTATATAAAGATATGTACAAATAATATATTGTTTGTACAGTCAATTTCATTAATGTGAATACTTTTAACATGAATTTTTCCTTATTCTTCATCATATTTTACTGAAAGTACAGTGCTCTCGTTTTTTTAACACAAACATGCTTAACATGAAATGGTTTTTAGTTAATCAATGGTTCTTAAATTTTTCCATTTTGGCACAAATGAAACATGTTTTCCCAAGTCTTTCTCAATATAGATGTACAAGTTTTATTCTTTTTTTGAAATGAAGAGTTCCATGGAATACATAAACAGTGTTATCTTTCAAAAGGAGATTATTACTACATTTTTCTTTTATTCTGAATAATTCAAGAGAAGGTTTAGTATCCCCAACCCAGTCACTTAGGTTTGGTTTTCTTTACACTGTTCTCTGTATTTTAAGCCAGTTGAAATCTGGCTCATTCAGACATGTATTTCATGAAGAATAATGTCCTGTTGGAGCCGTTTCGATGCTAAAATGCTCTAGTGTCCCCCCCCCCAGTCACAAAATCTAGAAATCACTGAACTTGGCGGAAAAGAAATGGAAACTCTGAATAGTACAAATGAAAAACATAAATTGCTATAAAATTTTGGATTGAGAAGAGCACCTTATCAACAGTTTTAAAAAATTGTGGAAAAATCAAATCTGCTTTTGGAATTGATAGTTTTGAGCCTGCTGAAAAGAAATGCAGATTGCAAAACTGAAGTTGAAATAGAGCTATTGAAATCAGAAAGACTCAGGCACAAATGTTAATCTCTTTTGTATTTTTATACCAGAGAAAGCCATATATTTTGCTGATAATTTGAATGTGAGTAATTTTGAATGCTCATCTGGCTGGTTCAAAGTTTCACGAACATAATAGCATAATTTGCAAAATGATCTCTGGTGAGGAAGCTGATATAAATGCTGAGATGCTTAATGTGTTTATGAAAGAGAAACTGGCTACAATTTTGAAGAATTATGCAGTATCTGATATGTATAATACCAATGAGACTGCATTTTTCTGAAGAGCAATTTTTACACACTTTAATCATAAAAGGTTTAAAATATTCTGGAGGTGTAAGTGGAGTAAAGAAAGGTAGACTGCGTTAGTAATAACTTGCATTATAGATATCCTCTTTCCCCCTGCCCCCTCCAAAAAGTTCCTGCTTATTATTAGCGACTTAGAAAAATTTAGGCGCTTTAAATCTATAAAGGGATTCCTAGTAAATTATGACTTCTCAAAAAGTTTGGATTACCAAAAAGTTCCTGCTTATTATTAGCGACTTAGAAAAATTTAGGCGCTTTAAATCTATAAAGGGATTCCTAGTAAATTATGACTTCTCAAAAAGTTTGGATTAGTTCAGAAATTCATATAACATTGCTAAAACAAGTTCCAGCAGAAATGTATACCTGATTGTTGGTGACTGTATTGTAAGAAACTCCTGAAAGCGGGTAGTGACCCGCTTTCAGGAGTTTCTTTGATCTTTGAATACTGCATCAAAACTACAACCTTGTGATTAAGGGATGATATGTTCTAAGAGAATTAATTCATTGGGCCTCTTAGTACTTCATTTGGCTTTTGATCAAAAGGCTGAGTTCAAGATAAACTTACTGGAATATTCTTTGAACAATATAGTGAGAAGTAATGCCAGAAATTATTGTTAATTGTTTCATCAAAGCAGGATTTGCTAGAAATAACAATACTGGAAAATATTAACATGCAGTAAAAAATGTGGAAATTTTTTATCTACAGTGGACCATACCAGATTTCTTTAAAATATATATATGTTAAATATTTTTATTTTTGTTCATTCTTTCATTCAGCCACATATTATGTTTCAATTTAAACAAACAACAACACCCCCCCCAAAAAAAACACACCAATTAGAATTTTTGGAAAAGTGCAGTTTTATATGTCTTTATACTTCATTCTAATAACATATAAGTTTTTAAATTATTTTATCCAATAATATTCGCATATTTTTAGCTGTCATTACTCTTTAAATTATTGTAAGAATATATTTTTTTATTTAGCTGGGTAGTAAAACTAACCAAATTAAACTAAACATATCGTTATAAAACATATTTTTTTATTAAACTAAAGCATATGTCTAGCATCATAGTGTAGCAATCATATTAAATTAAGAGATTTAAATGCTGAATTAGTTTGCATCACTTTTATATTTAAATGTTCTATTTAAATCTTTTGGTATATTTTAGCTGCTGCAAAACATTCTTATGTGGGAAAGCATTATAGCAGAACAGCCACTCCAGCATATGACTTTAGCTTCATTAGTTAATCGTTACCTATTGATGGGATTGCACACATCTATGATGATGAGGGATACATTAGATAAATGTAAAGTGGTGAGTAGATTTTGAGTTTCAGTTATTTAATAATTATAATTTTCTCTATGATAAAATTCAGGTAGCTGTTATCTTTTTCTAATTATGTTATTTATATCCAGATTGTATCAAGTTATCCTAAAAGTTGGTTCAAAAACATTAGAGGAAGCACAACTCTCTCTTTACTGAAGCCATTTTCTACATTTTTAATTAAGTTTGCAGATACTTACCATTCTCAGTGTGTTAAGCGAGGAATACCAGAAGAAGAAATAAAGTAAGTAAAACATTTACATTAAAAGAAAGGTAACATGTGAATATCTAGTAGAAATATAACAAACTTAAAACTTTTGAACTGTAAAATATTTCATAAAAATTGTTTCTGTGTATTTTCTTATTATTTATTACATATCTCAGTGATTAAATAGCATGCTTATTTAATTATGGATAACAAATGCCAGAAATGACTGTAGTTTATGGCTGGCCAAACATCAGTTCCAGTATACTTCTGAACCAATCATATACTATCCAACCTCTACATTATTATTTTATATTATATATGTATGAAAGTTATGTCCCTTTTTTAAGTTTCTAAAAAAGTAAAGACAAAGAATACACATAATTAAGTTCCTATTATTTCATATAGTTGCTGTCATTAGTTATTATTGTATGCCATTTATCTGATAAAACTTCTTTGTTTTAAACTTAAAAAAATATTGTAAATCATTTTCACATCATTTGAAGGTTTGGAAATAGAAACCCTGCCTTTTGACTATTATTCTCTGTACTGAAAATGTTTCCACTATTCTTAAAAAGTTGATATAGGTTGTTTATAATGGTTTGTTTAAGAATCCCTTCAGAAACCATTCATGGATGTTAAGAACATGTTTAGTTTTTATATATTCTGTCACCAACCCAGACTTTTCATAACAATAATGATATATGGTATTGTCAACTGCATCCACCCCATGTAAAAATGTAGTAAGCTGTGGCTGCCTTTCTCAGATTTATATTGAGAATATGAAATCTGGTGGACTTCTAATTGCTTGCCATTTTAAACCATTAAATGCAGGAAATACACTGACAAACTTAATGTAATTATATATTAACTGCTTCATGCTTTATTTTTCAAAGATTCTAGGGATCATGGTGTGATCTATGGCATTGTAAGCCATACAATCACTGTTTACATCTGTAAAACAGGTAGACTGTTTACCCACATTTAAATACTTTCTTTGCATAAAATCACCAGTAGAGAACAATATGTAGGTAATGCTCATAAAAAAGTTGGGCAGTCCTGATATATTATTTAAGTCAAAAACTAATTACAAATGCTTCAGCAGCTGGTGCTATTAATAATTATCTGTTAAAATATGTTTTTGAATAATTGATAAAATTTGAGTGTGTACTATTTCTGTATAGATTCGGTTTCATATTCATGTTTAACAGTGTGACAAATAATCAACATTATTTTAATACTTAAACTAATATTGAAATTTTTAATTAAAAAAGTGAAAATTTTTATATTTTACCATATTTATTTGCATATCCTCCCTAGTTTTTTCATCATATGATTTAAAACTTCTGATTCATGGTAGCAGCGTAAAATGATTGTACAAATAACAAAGTGTTTTGTATTAGTAAAAGAACATTACTGGAGTTAGTAAGTTCTTTGAAATGTAATATTTGTGTGTCTTCATGTGTGTTTTAATGTGCTGTGTTTATCATTTAAGCTGTCTTTTGAGAAACAGTATACACCATGTAATTTTTTCTTTTCGGGCTTTAAAATTAGTAGGAAGAGGGGATATGTGATATACAATAAAGAATATCAATATGTTGTTGTTTTCATTTCAGTATATGAGCCATATAAAATTATTCTGGAAGAAGTATATAGCCAAGGTATATGCACTTTTTATTGATAACTTATCTTGACTTATATATATTAAATGATTACAAAGTCTTACATTTAACGTTTATATGTAAATAAAATGTAAATGTAAGATGTATAAAATGTATGTGTATATGTAAATATGGTATAAAAATTATAATGAAATTTCATATTTTTTAGTTAGAATAACATTTTTGGCTGTGTCTCTGTTTATATTTTTTTGCTTTGTCCATGTCTCCATGCAAGGGAATATGTAATAACAATAACAATTATAAAAAGAGAATATAGCCACTTAATAGTCTATTACCATATTTTATAAATGCTTATTTACTAATTGTTTGCAATATATCCGATTTTCTAACCTGCAATTAATATCAACAAAACACTGTAATATTTAAAAATGTCTTTGTGAATTAAAAATCGTCATCTTATTAAAAATTATTTTGTTTTAAAATTTATATGGTATATTTAAACTGTAAATGTAAGATATTGTAATCATTTAATAGATATAAGTCAAGATAAGTTATCAATAAAAAGTGCATATATCTTGGCTATATACTTCTTCCAGAATAATTTTATATGGCTCATATAATGAAATTAAAACAACAACATATTGATATTCTTTAACGTATACATTGATTTAGTTTGCAACATCATTTCTGATACTTCTAATCAGTTCAATATCTACACCAATGGTTCCTGATTTTTATAGCTTGCTGCATACTTCATTCAACTCACTTTATATTTGTGGAATGTCATTTCATTCCTCTTCTTATTTCTCACAATAGTAAAAATATTTTCCTTTTCTCAAGAACGCAGTTGATAATAACATATGTTATTATTAGTCATGCAGTTTTGTGGAATCCATATGCCTTGAGAACCTATCATGTACATTAACCCTAGAATGCTACCCTTTGAAAAACTTATGGAAATGGTAACCATTTGTCTCCGAGACGAAGTGTGCGTAAGCATGTTTAAAACCTACTTTAAAAGCTAATTAAAAGTATACTACTCGCAGATGATTTCATGATTTTGGAACTTCAGGTTAGCAAGAAAGTATCATTTATTTATTATCAAAGCAGTCTTTACACATACTAGCTTGCTGTTCTCTGTCCATTACTCTGCAAGATCTTTGACAAAAGTCTGCACAAATCATATGGACAAAATGCAGAAATTTTTCTTGTTGATCAAGGCAAATTTGGTACATTGTAATGTTTCTTCATTCATGGAGCAAGAACACCTGCACTTAGTTTTATTGTGAACTTTTTCCTTGATAATGCCTTTTCGGATTTTATATTATGCATGTTTATATTATATATATCATGTGCATCCACTAAACTGATATTTATCATGCTTATTTTCTCCATGAAAGCACTTTGACATCTTAAAGGCAACACAGATATAAACAACACAGATTCATCTGCGAGACAAATATTGTTCTAAATATGTGAAAATATTTCAGTAAGAAGGAATGTCTTTATCTGTAGCAGCCAAGGTCATATAAAGGTACTGAGTCGCCCGTCCTGATTTCTGTCTGTTGTAGGGAGCAGGGCAAGGTTATTTGTTATGGGCTTCATCTAGAAGACGAATGGGTAGCATTATAGGGTTAATATATCTATTTTCCCCTAATGTTTTAGTGCCATCTTTCGGCTAGAATTCACTGTTTTTATATGATTCTGAACTTGTTTGCAAATGCATTTCAATTGACTTTTAAATACAAAGAAATAAAATCACAATCAACTTCTAAATATGTTTTTACAAGATCTGACCCTTTGATACTGCTTATTATGAAGACAGAGCAGCACATGTAGTGGCCTTATAGAAAGAAGAAACAATGTATGAAAACACTGATAGTTTATTAAAGATCTTTGCACTACTAGAATTTGGAGCGGTCGCGGACACTTAGCCGACGGGACACTTAACCGACAAGACATTTAGCCGACATGGACACTTAGCCGACAGGACATTTAGCCAACATGGACATTTGCCGACAGGATGTTTAACCGACACAGACACTTAGCCAAAAAGGACACTTAACCGACAGATCATTTAACCAACAAGGACACGTAGCCGACAGGACATTTAGCCAACACAGACATTTAGCCGACACAGACAGTTAGCTGACAAGGGCGCTTAGCCGAAAGGACGTTTAGCTGACACGGACAGTTAGTCGACACGGAGAGTTAGCCGTCAGGACATTTAGCTAAGGGACACTTAACTGTCAAGGCATTTAGTCAACACTAAGCCGAAAGTGAAGTTTAGCGGACACTTACCCAATAATTATTCAAACTTACTATGGATTACAAATTTCTTGACTTCTCCATAAGTTCAATATTTAAGTTATTTTTTTTACTATCAGTAAAATTCAGTTTTCGATTCTTAAAGATCTTATATGTGCTGTTAATTTAGCATGTTGACTGTATCGTGCTGTTTGGTGTATATTAGCCAATTGAAAAAGCGCTGAAATTTCTCGTCAGGGAATATGAATTAATTTCGAAAGGAAAAAGAATTTTTTTAGCTAATACGACGGTCCACTTAATTACATTTAATTTGGGATCTTCAAACATTATCCTAATCCTTCTTCATTTAATCAACGGGGTTTCTTTTGAACACTTTCACTGATTAATAATTCCCTTGTTTACTTGTTCCTTGATAATAATTTTTCAATATCGCTCTTTCAATTTCTAATATCTTTATGTTTCATTAATATTTTATAACTATCAAATCATGTTACATTCTTTCTCTTACAAAATCATTTAGCTCCTCCCACTAATGAATTTCCTTTCCCTGTCCTATGAAGCGACGCAGTCGCAGATGTAGGTATCCAAGCATTGCCTTACCCTGTATATAGCAAGTGAAATTACTGAGCATAATTTTTTCTGTGTTAGCATTAAGTTTCAGGAGATTTGAATAAGAAGAATTCAGATACCATTTTAGCGAAGTAGGACGGGAAGAGCAATTATGATTCGTAGGGAGCAATTATAGTTATTTGGCAGATACTGTATGTAGGCATAACTGGTTGTAGGAATATCGTGCAAGAATCCACAGTGAGGTGGGATCATTCATTTCGTGTTACAAAGCACAGTTACTCGAGACACATCGTAGGCTAGACTGAACTGGCTGCTGTCCTCAGCGTAGTAGGAGTAAACCGTTCTGAAAAATCTGAATATGCAATAAAAATTAATGTTATTCTAATATTTTATATAGAAACATATGATGGTGAAGGTTAATTTAGCAAATATTTTTATTTGTTATCAGAAACAATAAAAAAGTTGAATTTGTAACACGCAAAGGTAAAAATATATTCACTATAATTTGCAGTTCATTTCACCTTCTTGAGATAAAAAATTGTGACTTTTTTATCACGCCTCTCGCTTAAATACTTACTTAGGTTAATGTTATTGCCTAAACTACTGCGTAATGTTAATTTAGAAGTAAAATATTCTTTAAGGTTTTTTTAATCTAACTGAGCTGCAGAAGGAGGGCCACAAAGTAGGAGAGCAAAGCGACACATCAATGAAGTCCCGGAATGTATGCCATCCACGATGCTAGATTTAACTATATCTGTATGTAAATAGATAATATTATTTGATATGTTTTTGAAAGTCGCGATCTGTAATTTGCAATATATATGTTTTAATATTTTTCTTATAAATAACTTTTTCCAATCTGTTAAAAATATAAATTTTCATTTCATTTTCATTCATTTTATTTTTTTTTTCTCGTTCTTCTCTTTCTTTCTCGTTTTTGGTTTAGCAGCCACCTAACAGAAGTAAGTTTGGTTTATGTAATTACGGTAAAGCCAGAGGGCTATTTGCCTAAGGGGAGGGATGCCTTCGTGGAGGACTTTTCTAAGGAAAACTGCCTCGTATACATGTTACACATGGGAAAAACCACGAAAACAGCCTGTCTGTTCGCGGGATTCAAATTCGAACCGAACTGCCAGTGTTCAGTGTCTTTACTGCTTGGCAGCTGAAATACAGCGACCGTTTTACTTAATATATAACCAGTCTCTTCCAATGAAAATTGCCTTTTTAGGCTAGAACTTTGTTAATACGTTCAGGGAAATGGACACCAAAAATTTTCCCATTACCATGTCCTTCTGCAGCTTCAGTTATGAATAAAACAAAACCTTAAAGAATACTTTACTTCTAAATTAAACATTATGCACTAATTTAGGGCTATAAACATTAACCTAAGTAAGTATTTTAAGCGAGAAGCTTGGTTAATAAAATGTTACAGAATTTTTATCTCAAGGATGGTGGCATGAACTGCAAATTATAGAGGTCACAAATATGTTTACCTTTACTGGTTCTAAATTCACTTTTTAAAATTTTTTTTTAATAACAAAATAAATATATTTGCTAAACTAACCCTCACTGCCATATTTTTCTATAAAAAGAAATTTAAGAATAACAATATTTTTATTGAATTATTCAGATTTTTCATGATAGGGAAAGGAAATTCATTAGTGGCTAGCCAAACGATTTTTAAGGGAAGGAATTAACAGGATTTGATGAGCAAAATAGTAATAATGTAAATATATTAGAAATTTGAAAGCATTTGAAGAGCGAGATTGGAAAATAATAATCATTAAGTAAACAAGAAAAATATTAATGATTAAAAGTTGATTAATAAGAAGCTTTACGGATAATTTTGAAGATCCCATATTAAATGTAATTGTGAATTACATTTTAATACGGGAATTGAAGTGACCGCCGTACTAGCTAAAAAAATTCTTTTTCCTTTCGAAATTTAATTCATATTCCCTGACGAGAAATTTCAGCGCTTTTCAATGTGGCCAATATACACCAAACAGCACGATACATATCAAACAATGCTAAATTAACACAATAATTGAAAGCGAGTATGAGATCTTCAAGAATCGATAACTGAATTTTACTGATAAGTGAAAAAAATAACTTAAATATTGAACTTAATGGAGAAGTCGAGAAATTTTGTAATTGATTGTAAATTTAAATAATTATTGGGTACGCGTCAGCTAAACGCCACTGTCGGCTTAGTGTCCTGTTGACTAAACGTCTTGACAGTTAACTATCTCGTAGCTAAATGCCCAGACAGCGAATTCTGTGTGTTGGCTAAATGTCCTGTCGGCTAAGTGTTCTGTCGTCTTAACTGTCCGTGTCGGCTAAATGTCCTGTCGGCTAATTGTCCATGTCGGCTAAATGTCCTGTCGGCTAAGTGTCCTTGTCGGCTAAATGTCCCATTGGCTAACTGGTGTCGGTTAAGTGGTTGTCGGCTAAGTGTCACGAACCCAATTTGGAGTGTATGTAATGAGCAGTACATTGAAACTAGGTGAATGAATTGCTGAATCATTTAAAATTGTTTGTTTATTTAAAGTAATGTGGATATTAAGTCATTGTGTAATATTTCTAATTCTGTATATATGATAAATAAATAAAAAATGAAAATTTCTTAAAATATTCCATTGTTTTTTAAATTATTCAAATAAAACATATAATTTGTAATATCTAGAAGAAGAAAAATTAATACTTCTGCATATTTCTAATTTTTCTATTTTTGGCTCGCATTTTTAAATTGACTATTCTACATTCTAACTTGGCAAAACAGCCAAGAGCTTCTGCTTATCCATACTGTAATATTTGAAAATATGTTGTTAAATTCATTAGTTTATGGTTGTATAAAAGTATACTTTTTCTTTTCCAGGATTGTAATAAAGGAAATTGTGCAACTATTAGTGACCATGGAATTTCTGGACGATGCAGTCGTAATAGCAAAAAAATATTCTGTCAGTGGTTTTAAAAATTAATAAATTGTATATAAATGCATTTGTGTTTATCAGTAAATATGCATATATTTATTTTCTGTTTAGAATTTTATTTTAAATTCGTTATTGAAATGTAAATACTCTTTAACACTGTTGAATTTTTTTAAAATAATCTTTTGAACACTTATTTGAACAACTTTATTTTTTGGACAAAAGTGTGCTATGTTAAGTGTGATGATTTTAACATGTAACATGATTTTTTTTTTACACAAAATATCATCATACTAAATATTTTAACTTTTTGAAAGAATATGATGAAATACTGTTTAAGTAAATTATCAAGCATTTATATATTTGGTATCTTTTCAAATATTGAAAGTTTAATGTAAAATAAAATCTCCTGTTTTAAACCTTGACTATTACATGAATTAATGTTCTAGCTTTTCATCACCTGAATTTCTTTAGCATATACTAATATAAAAGTTATGCATCACACTTTAATTTGATCAAATGTATTTTCATTGTGCTGAATGTAATATACCTTTTATTTTTTTAACACTGTGTCCAATAACATCAAGACTTATAACTAAGCAAAATACCTAAAAATTATTTCATTGCAAATTGCTTGGAAAATACATTTTGTTATTAAAAAGTACTATGATGAAATATAAAATATACTTCTTTACATACATAATGAATTTTGTAATTTTTTCTTGTTTCTCTAAATTTGTGTTTATTTATTACGGTGTTCTGACATTAGGCATTACATGGAAAGGGAGGGATGCCCTATCGAGGTCTGTTTAAGGTAAACTGGATGTTACACATGGGAAAAACCATGAAAATGCTCATGCAGCCAGCCCATTCGTTGGCATTTGAAGCATGGATTGAACTATCAAGTGTTCAATAACTTTTATCGCACAGCCACTGTAGGAAAAATTTGTGTTTAAAATGCAGTTTTCTTAGTTTATTATTATTTGATTATGCAAAGCTTATTAAGAAGGAATGCCTTCATGGAGGACTTTTTAAGAGAGCTAGTCCTTATGTTATATAGAGGAAAATAAAATTAAGGAAAAAAAAAAGAAAAAAAAAACATCTTGCAGCTAGATCATTTAATTACTGGGACTAAAACCAAAGGTGAACTCTAATACTTTACACCTACTTAATACTAAGAAGACCCGTCGTTTATTATGAATAAGGATGTAAGAATTATGTGCCTAAAAATAAACCCTTCAAGAAGGACAGTAATCTGTTTGATGTGATTTTGATAGCAATTTCTAAATAGTACTTGTTGGAAACAAAAATAACCTGTTAATTAATCTGTCAATATATTTCATTGCCAAAAGACACCACACTGTTAATGGTGTATTTATTAACACTCAAGTACCAAACTTGTCAGTTATGTATGTATTTAACAATTGAATAATTTGGTTACAGCCGAAAACATCGCGGCAAAAACATCGCAGACGAAAATGTCGCGGAGAAAACAACGCAAGGCGAAAACGTCGTGCTACAAAACATCGTGGGAGAAAACATCGCAAAGATAAAACATCGTGGTACAAAACATCGTCGTCGAAAATAAAGCGGTTCAAAAACATCGCAGTTTAAAAACATCGTCGTTGAAAATATCGTGGTAAAAAATAAAGTATCTACAAATCATCGCATGACGATAACATCGCAGACATGCTTTTTTCAGGCATGCTTTAATAAGTGTAAATGGATATTCCCATAATGATTTGTGAGCGCAAGGTATAAAGAAGGATAAATTTTACTTTCACATATTTTATTAATTAACTACATACATTTTGCTGAGAAAATAAAAAGGAAACTTAAGCATAGAAAAATTAATGCAACACTTATAGCACTTAATAGAATTTTAAACAGACATAGTTAACTAACAAGGCCATTAATAAAATCATTTTTATAAAGTTTTTACTGGTAATATTTCATGAAAAGTATAATCTATAAGTTACATTTAATTTTCTATGCTTAAGTTTCCTTCTTACGTTTTCAGCAAAAATTTATTAGTTAATAAAATATGTGAAAGTAAAATTTATCCTTCTTTACACCTTGCGCTCACAAATCATTATGGGAATATCCATTTACAATTATTAAAACCTGAAAAAAGCATGTCTGCGATGTTATCGTCATGCGATGATTTGTAGATACTTTATTTTTTACCACGATATTTTCGACGACGATGTTTTTTGAACCGCTTTATTTTTGACGACGATGTTTTCTCTTTGCGATGTTTCTCCCACGATGTTTTGTAGCACGACATTTTCACCTTGCGTTGTTTCTGCGCGACGTTTTCGTCCACGATGTTTTTGCCGCGATGTTATCGGTGGACACCAATAATTTAGTATGTATCTGAAATTTTTTCTTGTTATTAAAGCAAAAAATGCATACATGAATTTAAATATTGATTGTATATATTAATTGAACTATATGTAGACAATTAAAATCTGATAAACAAATTTTATTAAAATATTTCAGAGGAAGTATTTAAAAAAAATGTTTTGACTGTAAATGAATTTCTTTTCTTTAGTAAAAGGAGATTAATGCTAATAAACACCTTTTACATTACCAATATATTTTATTTAAAATTTGCTTTGACTTAAGTAGGAAATATATGAACTTTTAAATAATGTCTTTTCATATTATTGTAATTTCATATATATTATAATGTTGTAAAGAGTTCTTTAAAATCACATGAAATACATTTGTTCCTTAATTTTTACATGTATGAAAAATGTTTTCTTGTATTTATAGTTTTAAAGAAATTTTATGGATGTTTTTAAGAGCAGCATTCAGAATGTCAGACCTGGATGCTGAAATTTTGGATTTTAAACCTATTCACCAGAATTTTCAAAATTCAGAGAGTAATATTTTGACAAAATTCTGATATGATGGAAATAGATTAATTGTGTCAGCAAAGAAACCAAACATCAATAATAGATGCATACACATTCATTGAAAAAGCCACTGGAGTTCAGTCAGTCAGAAAAAGTGTTGATACTAATACAGTAACACACTGTTGATGGTATTGTATTAGTATCAGTTATAAGTCCAAAATCCGGACCTCAAAGCCACCACCACCTTTTTTTTTTTTTTTTTTTTTTTTTTTCCTTTATGCATGCACATTTGATTTTTCCCCTGCACATAATAAAACATGTGGAGAGTCTCAATTCTTAATTTTACTTCGGCAGTAAATAAAATGCCTCGTAACTGAAGAAACAATCCTTTTAGCATAAATTTGTACGATTAATAATTTGGCTCCGTTGCTGTGTATCTGCTTGGCATACATACATCTCAAACCAAAACATTCTACATAGATACATCATTGATTTTACACATACTAATATTGTATATCCCTAATACCAACCTGGCGAATCATTTATTATATTTTGCTTTCATCATCGCATGTTTATCAACACATGACAACTTGAGAAATGACTCATGTAGTGATTCTAATCAATATTTTATGTTAGTCATTGAATAATAAAGAGTATGGTAACCTTTAATGTTGACATTACAGATTTAAGTTAAATGCGCTAAGAAATGTTGACGAGGAAAAATTTAACAAAAATTTCTTTCTGTATGCTAAAAATAGATTTTGTTAGAAACAGATACTCATACATCAAAAGATTACATTTAGTGGTATTTGAATTAAGAATAACTGATTTGTTATTCACATAAACCCAGAACCAGCACCAGGGTTTATGACCATACTGGGCGGCAGAATTTAGGGAAGACAAAGGGAGCCATTTGGTAGTAGAATTCAGGTCCCACAGAGATCAGGCTCTATCACTGGCCCTCAATAAGTAGGAATTTATTTATTCAGAACTCAGATAAGCATGTGCAAGAAATAGACATAAGTATAATAATCGACTAATACAATTCAGGCTTAATTGTCTCAGTGCACAATAGAAGCAAGATAAAATTTAGTGGAACAACTTGTTAGTCGTGAATCTCACGATACATAACCAAATATATATCATGAATGATAGCTAAATTTTATGATGATAGCCACAAATTTTAAAGGTTTTCGGATATCACAAAACAAAGGTGAAATTTACCAATTAACGGATTTTGTAAAGAAATTTGGAAAAGCGGTAATAAATGAGGATGATATAAAAGAAGTTTTTCATTGTGATGACAATGCTCCTCAATCATTAGTCAATTAATGGATGATGAAATCTGTGGTATGATGATTCTAGATCCAGAAAATACCTCTACCAATAGTGAAGAAAGTGACAGAGAGGCTACTGAAAACAAAAAAATTTCAATTGACAAGAAGGAAGTTAAACAACTTGCACTGAAGGAAATGTTTAATAAAATAAACAAATAAATATTAATTTTTCTTTTAAATTTTGATACCCCTTTAGATCATAAATGCTTCATTATTTCATAAATCATGATTTCATATTTTTAATTTTATAATTTCTACTTGCCCTCTTACTTGTTTTAAACTGATGATCTAATATCTGGAAAAATTCCAAATCCCGAATTGTGGAAGTCCCGACGAGTCTGGATCTCAAACTTTGTATTGTAGTGGATTGAAAAGCTTAATAAAAGCTTGTAGTGGATTGAAAAGCTTAATCTTGCATTCTTTTCAGATCACGTTTAGAAAACAGAATTATGAAAACATTAAAGATGTACTTTGGTGCACTGAAAATACATAATCATTCAAAGCAACTGCATATATCAGAAATGTGTTTGCTACTATCTGGTAATGAACCTTATATGCAGCAGAATCGTATACGCTTTTCTGCAACTATTTTATTGAAACTTGTTTTAAACATTCTCTAAAGCCAAATGATGAGAAACATTCCCAAAATTCATCACAAATTCTGCAACTGATACCAAGTTTTATTACACTGAATAGAGTTAAATTCATTACAATTTAATATATTTCTCAAATCCTGCATGCGTCCATCTTTGTAGGAACAGCAGACACTTATGAGTTACTGAGAGGATATATTCGAACTATTTCTTTGAATTATGGCAAAGCATGCAAGGATTATCTGCCTAAGGTGCCTTTATAGAAGACTTTCTACTGGAACACTAGATGATATTCATATGATTGGGTCCAAAAGATAAATACAAATGAAGCAAAATATCAAAATTTCATTGAGTCATGTAAGCGCTGTTTCTTACCATGACTTTTTGCCATCTTTCTGGCAGCTAGAAAATGCCATTTTTTTTTTTTTTTTTTTTTTTTTTTTTTTTTTTTTTTTTTTTTAAAGGTCATTAGGTTTATTTATAAAGAAGTTATCAAAGTGCTGTTTGACAGCCTCCAAAGAAGTGGACTCAGGAATTTTGAAGTGACCTGAAGAATTAAAAATTGGGAGGGGCAAGGTCTGGTATATATGTAGGGTGACATAAAATATCCCAGCTGTACTCAATAAGTCTATCTGACATTCATTCAAAATGCGGAGCTCAGCATTGTCATGATGAAAGACAACACCTCAACAACTGGTCAGTTGAGACTGGCTTTTAAAATTGCCTTTTGTAAACAGTATTTGTCTGATTTGGAGGCAACAGTTCATAATATCCAGTTCTTTTGTAATCCAACCATAATCAGAGCATTTTTAAAGGAATGCAACCCTCTTCTCAGTAATACCAAAGGAGGTTCATGTGGCTTATCCCATGAATTATCTTGTAACATTACTGGATTGTATCCCCACATCTCCAGTGATGAGCCTTTTCAAGTAAGGAGCTTTTTTTTTTTTTTTTTTTTTTTTTGCCTAACAAAGAATCGCCAAAATTCGAGCTAGCATGTTCTGCTAGTATGAGCAATACATTGTGTCATCCAGAAAGTCTTTTTACTTCATTGTACAATGCAAAGTAAAAAAGGGAAGTAATGTAATTGCGAAAAATTTCTGGTATCATATTTCAACGAAAATATCAATTTTTACTGCTATCAAATGCAATTAAACAATGTTTTTGCATAACATCTGTATGCAAGGACAGATAAAGGACTTTTTTTTTTCCCCCCAAATTACAAAACTGATTTAAAATAAATTTTGAAGAGATTTTTTTCATGCCGTATGTATGTATCTCGCGTAACTCAAGAATGAGTAATATTAGAACGTTGAAATTTTGTATACAGGACTACTATAACATGTAGATGTGCACCACATATTTTGGTTGCAATCGGCCACAAAGTATAAATATACGTATATATATATCCACTCTGTTTTTCGCCTCAGTGTCTTTATTCTTATATGTTTGTTAATTGTGTATTTTTTGCTTTAAAAATGATTGAATTATGTTCTTAATCTTCAGTTAAGGTTTTTATGCCTTTAGTTAACCTTCATGTTATAGTTGTAGAATTATCAACAATTTAAAAGCGCAGCTAAGCTTAATTTGTTTACATTTGAAACTCAGCAGAATAGTGGATTTGTTGCCAAGCTAGAGAAACTAAACTTTGCAACAATAAAGTAATGCCTTCTTTTATTATTGCGAATTAAATTATGCTTAATTCATTTTGCAATTTTCATTTAAGTTATTAAATTATCCTATATATGGACTCAGCATAGCATCCACAACAAATTAAGGCAGTTTCTACACCTTCAATGTTTTTTTGCCAAGTGAGACTAAAAGTAAACTCAGTTTTGTGCACCGAAAAATCTGCCTTTTTGCCCGCTGGTCAATTTTTTTTTTTTTTTTTTTTAAAGTAGAAATTGTAATTTTAATTGAAAAAATTGTTTTAACTGTACTTGATGTTCTATCACTGTACTATCTTTCAATTTTAAATTTTTATGTATTTTTGCTTTGCTGCAATATGAGAACAAAATTAATTAGTAGCGCATGCGCATTAGGTAAGCGGTGCTGAATCGTGTGTGGAAAACAGTTTCTTTTTATTTGTTTAATTTCTTTTATACATTGTTTTAGATTTATTAGAGTATTTCAATAGAACATGTAGGAATTATTCAGAGGATATAATTTTTGTGCACTCTTGAGTTATAAAATGAACGAGATGTAACTGCGTTAAGTGAATCTAGTGCCAAAGTGTCGCTATGGTAAATAAATATAGTGAACTTTAAAGAGTGCATATATTCTATTGTGGTTTATGCGCTATTGACCAAGTAAATTTAATTCAAAATTCGTTAACTGTTAATTCAATAATTTTAAATGAAATGCAGGAAAATTGTATATAATTTAATATTCCTTACAAGGAAGTCATGTGGTGTACACATTAGATTTTTTTAAAAGATAAATACAAATGAAGCAAAACATCAGAAAGTTTCACTAAATCAGGTAAGCACTGTTTTTTAATATGACTTTTTACCATCTGTCCAAATCAAACCATCTTCAGTAAAGTACTTTTCAGAATATTTAGTCTATCTGATAGTTCCTGAACTGTATAATGTGGATTTTCAGATAGCTTCTTTTAATAGATCCTTGTTTTCTGAAGATAGTACTCCAGAGCGACTTCATCTTCAAGGCTGAAATTCCCCCCCCCCTTAAAACCTTCCTGTGTCATCAGCACCTTTAAAACCTACCTGTGTGATCAGAAACAACACTATATCCACATATAGCAGAAGTTTTACATGCAATTCAACTAGATATTTTCCTTTTTTGAAAAAATAAGGAGAGTAAAATAGGTTTGGTTCAGTTTATAGAGATTATGGCAAAGCACACTAGGGCTATCTGCCTAAGGGAAGGGATGCCTTTGTGGAAGACTTTCTAAGGGAAACTGGCTCGTATACACGTTACATATGGGGAAAACCACGAAAATGCTCATGCAGCCAGCCCATTCGCGGGATTCGAACATCAGACCGAATTACCAGTGTTCAGCGACTTTGCAGCTGGTGAGCCCAGGGTATAATAGGATGAAAGTTAAATTTGAATTCTTTATTTTTAACATTGCACCGAAACAAAAATTATGCTAGAACTATGCAAAGTGAGCATAAAAGATTATATTTATGCATCTGCTTATATCAGTGTCACTCTTTATCAACAGTAACAAAATAATTAAATGAAAACATGCTTCAGTTCGAAAAACTGAAGAACGTCTTGGATGACTCAATACATGAAAAAATATAAAACCAGCTATGTAGCCAGCATATTTTCTGAAATTTAAACTTGGGTAAAGCTACCAGTATTCAGCAATCATATCCACTCGACCAGCTACATGCCTGTACATAGTGGACAATGGGCTTATTTTTTCAAACATATTTTACAATCTTACCGTATGCCCATATTTGCTAGCACAGCAGATACTTTTGCATCACTGGGAGAATTTACTTGGATATTCAAGAAAACTGTCTTATTAAATTTTTAACAAGTATCACAAACATTTTTATATATTCAAACTTTGCTAGTACCCCAAACCCTATTCATAAATGGGAAGATACATAAACGTCTACATCAATGGAAGATACTTGGACATACTGAAAAATTGGCCGATGTCACAAATGGATGAAAATAGGGATGGTTACCTCTTTCCGCAAAACAATTATATGGTTCACTACCAGTAAGACCATTATTGACAGTATTTCAGTCAAAATTCATCATTAAAAAGGACAAAAAAAAAACAAAAAAAAAAACTGAAAGGTTTCAGATTTTAAATTACGTCCAAAGGGGCTTTTTTTTAATTTTTTGTGTGTTACTTTTATTTATTAAATATCATGTTCTACGTACCCAAACCATAAAATTTAATTTAACAGCAATGTCACAAAATAATTTGAAAACGAGCATATCTTTAGAATTTCCGATATAGAGTCTCGCATGCTGGAGATAAATTTTTCCCCCCCCTACAGTAATGCCTTTGCTTGCTTTGAAATCGTTAAGCTCGTTAATAAAAAATTTGTTAAAGTGTTACAAAAAGTGAGATCAATAATAAAACAAATACCAAATTCGGGCTTCCACATGCCCGTATTGTATTGTATGGACGATTACGTTATTAAAATTTTGATGGCTCTAAGTACCATTTTTTTATCACAATGCAAGAAACATACATACATTCATGCAGATTCTTCATTATTTAAATTTTTTAAATATAATACAGGGTGATAATATTTGGTGGCAACAACACTTATCATGAATCGACGCAAAATGTCGAAACAAAATTAATAGTCCTTCTGGGCAAATTGGCCTTTAGAATGGTAGCCACCTCACTTTTTTATTTAATCCTATATGACTTTTTTCTTGTGGGAGCTTGTCAAGGATACTTATCTCAAACACACCTTCAAAGCTGTGTAACTGTATTTGATCCAAAAGATTGGACTGTGTATCTATCGTACCAGCAAAAGCAGACAAAAATATTTGTGAAATCTGTGAAACAAACTAGGTGAGTTTGTCTCTATTTTTGATATAATCAAATTTGATACTTTTAATGCAATTTACTTATGATATTTTAATGTTTCATGGAAATATAAAGAACCGAGATTTATGGAAGGAAATCAATGCAATATAGAAAATTCACAATGAAATTATAAAGTTCCAAGTCAACAGATAAAATATATGTTTAAAATGAGATTGTAAACTTTGAAAAGGATTATAGCCCAGTCTTCATGGAAAGTAGTTTAATTCTTTTCCTATATTAAGAGCATTATCCTACACAAGAACTGGTCAAGAGCAGGATCTGTTCCATGTGCCAGTTTTATAATGGGGATGCAGAAACTCATTTCATGATAACAAGTGCTTTAATTTACAGGACAGTTACGTAACTAACTTTTTATAATTCTTATAGGCTTAATAAAAAGTAAGGGAGAGGAGGGAAACATTCCCCCCGGGGGTTAATTTCTAAATATCTTTATGCATATTAAAAGGCGAGAGAATTTTATTTAATGCTGACTTTTGGAAAAAATATAAAATTTGATATAAATTGACATCTAAAATGTATTAAATATGTAGTTTTATTTACAAATATTAGATATAACTACAAATACATATGTATATACACACACAAAAATTTGATACAATCTACATTTAATAGAACTATGTGGTTGCTTTATGTGCCAAATAATAAAATACAATAAACAAGCCCACAGTTATTAGAACGACATAGCACATCAACCGTCTATCACTTCTTCCAGTAAACATCATCTTATTCATTCGATTGAAACTTCCAGATAGAAATCCTTGGCTGCTATCAAATTCATTTCCCTAAAAATATATTTTTTTAAATTCTACTGAAAAGATTATCTGTAGTTTGAAATCATACATTTCATAAAAATCATCATTAGAGATAAAAATTAAATATCCATTATTACATTCTTTGAGGGAAGAAGGTGAGAAATTAAGGACTTTTCTTGCAGGTTTTAGATAAAATTTCAAATATGGTAATAAGCCTGAAGAAGTACTAAATCCAGAAATCTAATCTAAATAGGAAAATGAGACATCTCATAATTTGTATGCAAAAGAAATGATAATCACTTAAAAAAATCAAATTAATTCAAATCGTCACACACAATTTTCTTAAAACTTTTTACAGAACAAATAATTTATTTTGAGTATATTTTACTGTATTTAAACAAACAGCAATTTTTCTGCAGAAATTCTGTAACTTCAAGTACTTTGATATAATAATTACAGATAAAATTCAGTTGAATGTTTAATAACCTGATTCAATCTATTTAGGACTTCATCTTTCATAAATAACAGCAGCTCTTAATTAAAAATTTGAGAGAACTGTTCCAAAGTGGTGAAATTCAAGAAATTAAGGGAGGAAAAAAATGATTGCTTCATATTTTTACAGTGCAAGGATTAAAAAAAATTACTGTGATGATTTTTAATATAAATATGCACCCTTTTCTCTGAAGGATTTATATACGGCACACAACGAAGAAAGCAATAACTACTAAATGCAAATTTATAACCTCTCTATATCAAAGAATAATTTAACATCTTGTATTGTGGATTTTATTTTGGCATTTGCTGGAAAATGTCCAACAAATAGATTTACTACTAATTTGAAGTAATACTTTTGTTAATGAGATTTCCTATTCTCAGTATATTTTCTTTTAACAGAATACAATTTGAACATATATTACATACATCATAAGAGCCTGAATTCTATCTAACATATAATGGCTTGTTACTTAAATATAACAAAGTATATGAAAGCTACCTGAAGAGGAGGGATACTTTCATGGAGGACTTTCTACGACATTACAGATAGGAACACTATGAACACAGGACATGAACTACCAGCATTCAACAGTTTAACTGTTCAACCTTTGATAAGGCATAATACAGTACAAAGTCCGTAATCCGGATGTCCATTATCCGGAATGATCTATAATCCAGACCTCAAAGCCACAAACTTACGCATGCACGTTTAGTGTGTGCGTCCACTACACATGCGCATAAAGCCAGTAAAGCATTTACACATGTGTGCTTCTGATAGTGAAGAAAGTGACAGAGAGGTTATTGAAAACAAAAAAATTTCAATTGACAAGTTAGTCGGTATTCTCGACACAGTAAATTACAGGATTTGAACAGTGGAACTGAACAAGAAATTATGTCTGTTTATAGAATTAAAGAGAAAGTATTAGCACAAAAAAACGAAGCAACTTAAACAACTTACATTGAAAGAAATGTAAACAAATAAATATTAAGATCTCCTTTCTTTTTTTTTTTTTTTTTTTTTTTTTTTTTGATACCCTTTAAGATCATAATTGCTCTTTATTTCATAATTTTCATATTTTTATTGTATAATTTCTGCATGCTATCTTACCAGATTTAAATTGATGATCTATAATCCGGAATCGCTGAAGTCCTGACGAGTCTGGATTACGGACTTTGTACTGTATATGTTTTATGGATATTCGAGTAACTACTTCTGCCAGCCCACATAAAAAAGAAAGGGAAAACTTTTTATGTTTTTGGTAAATGTTTAGACATTTTATTTTAATTTGAACTACATGGATCATTTTTATTGAAAACAATTTCAGAATTAAAAGCCATTTTAAATGGTGAAATTATTAGCCTGCTACCCTCTTCTTACAGGTGGGTATTTGGTCTGCATAGATCTGAAGTTTCAAACTTTTCATTAACTAAAGCATAGCTAACACATTGTGAGGGTTGCTTTCAGAAGAAACGTATTTCTTTCAGTATTGTAGGAACTGAAGAAAAGGGAAGAATTGCATTGAGTAGCTGTGGAAGTGCTAAAAGACTTTCATTTAATAATAACAATATAGCTCATTTGAAAATAAATGTTTTTTTATTTCTGCAACAAAATGCAAACTATTTAAATAATTTGCCCCGAAATTTCATACTATGTAAGTCTTTAAATTCACTAAATATATAGCCATACTGTATGTAAATAAAATACAAACAATACAACACAAATATGAAAGAAGTAAAGAAAATAATTTTCTGGCCAGATTTTTCCACTATGGAAGAAATTTGCTAACCCTGCTGAGAATGCACCATTTCCAAAACCTTACTTTATACTGATGCCATTGCAATATACTAAATCTTGAACAGTAGAAAGGAATGTCATTTTTGAAATTTCAAATGAACTATGTAATGTGAAAGTTTAACAAAATTAAATTTTCTCCTCTTTTGAGTTTATCGATTAAAAATTATGAAATTGGTTACTATATGCATATCAAAAAATGTTTCGTTTCGTTAAATTATTTTACAATTTTGTTTTCTAACCTTTCTAAATAATTATGCTACTTTCCTAGTTTTAATCCAGGTACACAAAAGTACATACATAATCTCTCCCTTCTCTAAAAAATATAAATAAATAAAAATATTTAAATTTGTAATACATCAGTCCTACGTACAAAAATGTAGGTATAATGATATAAATAAATTCAAAAATTAGTTCTTTCCATGAAAGAACCATTTCTTTTAGGTATATTTTTCTTTTCTTTGCATTTTTTTCTGCCAGGGAAGAAACTTGCCAACACTTACATATATGCATCATTAGATTACACGTAAAGGGCAGTGATTAGTTTAATAGGCATGAAAAAGTTCGTATTATTATACTAGAACTACAGTGGAACCTCGATATACAAGCACCTCTATATATGAGAAATTCGAAATACGAGGAAAGTATGAGCGAAAAATTTGTCTCTAAATACGAGCAATGAGCTAGGCTGTTGGTATGCATGGTGCCATTTCCCGATCTGGCTCGCCTCAAGGAATCCCCTCATCAGATCACTCAAGTGTTCTTTGATCTACGCGTTTGTGCAGTTGCAAGTTATTATTATTATTTTTTTTTACATATAACGTGAAAATAATTGTTCGCGATGCCTCTCAAGAAGATTGTTGATTTAGATACTGCTGCAAAAAAAAAAAAAAAAAAAAAAAGTGATGTGTACACCACATGACTTCTTTGTATGGAATATTAAATTATACAAATTTTTTCTTGTATTTCATTTAAACTTATTGTATTGAATTAAATCTACTTCGTGGATAACACATAAACAACAATAGAATAAATGCAATCCTTAAAATTTACTATCACTCAGAATGCAGAAAATTTATATCATTTGAAGATCGTTGCCATATGTTTTATTCAAATACTATAATAAATCTAGAATGATGTATAAAAGAAATAAAGCGAAAAAAAGAAACAGTTTTTCACAGACGATTCAGTATTTCTCATTCAATTAATTTAGTTTCACTTCGTGACAAGGCAAAAATACATAAAAACTCAAAATATCTATATTAAAAATTCATAAATAAATCTTAAAAACTTATTTCCTTGAAAAAATTTCAGAAAGGATTAAGCATGATTTAATTCACAATAATAAATGAAGGCATTATCTTTGTGGTTGCAAAGCTTAGTCTCTCTAGATTGGCAACAAATCTACTATTCTGCTATAACAAACAAACATGTCCACCATGTTATTTAAAAATTAGGCTTAACCACACTTAAACAGCTTTTAAATTGTTGATAATTCTACAAATATTGCTTGCAGATTCCTAAAGGCATAAAAACCTTAACCGGAAGATAAGAACAACATAATTCAATCATTTTTAAAGCAAAACATGTACAATTTACAAACATATAAGAGTAAAGAAATTGAGATCACTAAGCAGGGTAACAGAGTGGATATATATATAAATATATTTATATACATTTGGTCGGCCCATTGCAACTAAAATAGAAGTTGCACATCTACATGTTATAGCAGTCCTATATACAAAATTTCAACGTTCTGAGGCTACTCGTTTTTGAGTTATGCAAGACACATACGCACGTACTTATAGACACCACGAAAAATTCTCTTTAGAATTCATTTTAAAGCAGTTTTATAATTTTTTTGGAGGAAAGGAGTCTTTTATTCTGTCCTTACGTACAGATGTCACGCAAAAACATCATTGATTGCATTTGATAGCGGTCAAAATGGATATTTTCTTGAAATATGCTGCCTGAAACTTTTCATGACTACAATACTTCCTTTTTACTTCATACAAGGAAGTAAAAAGGGGAAGCCATGGACGTAGAAATTAAGAAAGAAATCATAGATAAACATAAGCATGGTGTAAGAATGACCAAATTGCCGAAGACTTACCGCCTTTAGACATCGACGATCTACACTATTCTGAATAAGAAAGAAAAAATTAAGAAACTTGATGTGATCAAAGGAGTTACCATTACTTCCAAACACTGTCCAAAACTACTTGAAGATGCTGAGAAGCTGTTGTTGGTGTGGATTAATGAGAAGCAGTTAAAAGGTGATTTGATGTCGGAAGCTATCATTTGCACAAAGACAAAGAATCTGTACTTGGAACTTCTCCAAAAAACACCAGGTATGTTGAATGAAGATGAGATGGCATTTAAGGCAAGCCGTGGATGGTTTGAAAAATTTAAAAAGAGAACCGGTGCTCACAGTGTTGTGCGACACAGAGAGGCTGTGATCTCCAATATACAGCTGCTGCTGTTAAATTTTGGACAAAGTTCCTACAATATATTACTAGTGAGGGTTTCCCCAGCAAGTATTTATTGTGATGAAACAGGTCTTTTTTGGAAGAAAATGCCTAAGAGGACTTGCATCATGCAAGAGTAAAAATCTTTGCCTGGCCACAAGCCAATGAAAGATAGGCTTAACCTCTTTTTTTTCTTCACTAACACAAGAGTAGATTGTAAAATCAAGCCATTGCTCGTCTATCACTCAGAAAATCCACGATTTTTCAAGAGTGCGAAGGTACTTAAAAATAACTGAATGTGATGTGGCGGGACAACAACAAAGTCTGGGTAACGGCTATTTTTCATCGAGTGAGTCAATGAAGTTTTTGGTTCCTCAGTGAAGAAATACCTTCACGAAAATAAGTTGCCACTCAAGGATTTGCTCGTCCTTGATAATGCTCCTGCATATCCTCCAGGGCTTGAAGATGATTTGCTGGAGGAATTCCAATTAATAAGAGTCAAGTTTCTTGCTCCCAACATCACTCCACTTCTCCAGCCTATGGACCAGCAAAGTTATTTCCAACTTTAAGAAGTTGTACTCAAAGGGAAACACATTTTGAAAGGATCACTTCAACATCCTAAATTGTTTAAACCTCATTGATAAGGCTTGGGAAGAAGTCTCAGCGAGGACTCGAAATTCAACATGGAAAAAACTGTGGCCTCAAGAGTATTCCCGACTTTTGTTTTGATCTTCAACCTGTGGACAATACAGTGCAGCTAGTCAAAGAAATTGCATCTCTGGTGTAAAGTATGGGTCTGGATGTGGATGGTGGCAATTTGGATGAGTTAGTGGAGCAGCATAGTGAAGAACTTACACAATAGACGAACTTGAAGAACTTCACAAGGAGCAGCGGCAAGGGGTGGTAAAAGAGCTGTTTTTTTATAGAAGGAGGGACCAGGAGATGAGGCCTTCTCTTCCAGTATGATTAAACGTTCTTTGAAGAAAATCACCCTAGTAAAGCAGTGTGTGGGCACACCATAACTTATGTAATGACAATGTAGTGTTGCATTTTAGAGGCATCTTAAAAAGGAGACAGAAGCAAGTGTTATTAGATAAGTTTTTGGTAAAGCAACCTGTAACTAAAAGAGAGTTAACCTAGGATTCTGACCTAGAACCTGCTTCTAGTGGGGTAAAATTCCCAAGAAGACAGAACTTTTTTGAATCAAAGGGGAACTCTCCATCCTCACAGTAACCCATTTTGTTTTCCCCCACATCCCTATCACCAGTCAGAATATATTACTTACCAGTGTTATTTATTAGAAAAATTGATTTTTATGTTGATATTTTTTTGGGGGGTGTAAAATGAATTAACTGGATTTCCATTATTTTCAATGGGGGAGTTTTTTTTTTTTTTTTTTTTTTTTTTTTTTTTCCTAGATGCAAGAAATTCGCTATACGAGGTCAATGCTGGAACGAATGAAACTCATATCTCGAGGTTTTACTGTTATTTCAAACACATACATTACCACTCAGAAGCATAGATGTGTATGATAATTTTATTGACATAAGATCTAACTATGTAAAACTCATTTTTTTATCATTTAAAAGTTTCTAAAACATTATCTCATCCTACACTTTTTGAAACACTTCTGTTTAGAATTTAATAAAATAATTTGGTCATACAAATCTATGTTTTATATCTTTGGTTGAAGTAACTTGGTTAAAAATTTATTCTTCACAAACCGGTACTTTTTAAATTAAATATCCTAAATGATTAAATATATTTATGAATTTTTATGGAAATTATTTCACAGTTTCACCCAAGCACTACATTGTAGCTTCATTGTTAATTATTTTTCACTTCTTAGTTCTTTTAATTATTTAAATAATTCTTCCGATAACTATTTGAAGTGGCATATAAGCAAAATATTGCATTCAATAAGACCTTCACAATGATTGTAGTTTTTTTTTAACCTTAAAATACAAAGAATTTATCATAGTATTAGATTTTAAAATTAGAAAGGCAACTGTGATTTCCATAAGATTGTTTTAATTATTAAAAATTTTTCAAAACCTTACAATAATAATAAAAAACTGAAAAGCAGAAGCATGACTAATAGCATTCATAATATGCACTAAACATGGCTTTCTTCCAAGATTTGTGTTTTGTATTGCTGCAATTCGATAACCATAAGAACTTAATTTTTTGGAAAATATCTTTCTGAGCATTACATAAATTAAAACAACCACAGCATGCATATCATATACAAGCAAAAAATAGTAAATATGACAACTCTTTAGGTATTCTATTGATAAATCCGTATTCTAACTCATTACCCAAGATCTCACATACTGCAGCTATGTGCACTTTTTTAGTTCGCAGCACTACAATGCTATGAAAGTACAAATAGAACAACTTTAGGAAGCCCACCTGAAGTGAATAATTTTAGTAACTAAATTAATTAATTTAGTTAATTTTAGTAACAAGTAAAACAAAAATATGAAGAATTTGTTGAGACTCAAGCAATTAAAAAATGTGAAGGGTTTAATATTAGCTTAATTTTCCCATCAGCACAACAGAAAGCTATGCAATCTTTCATAAACCTTCTTCTTCTTCTTTTTTTTAATTTGAAAACTGAATGACCATCATTATGAAAAAGATTTAGAAATAATTCCTTCAGATATCATCCCAGCAATGTTTCTCAATATTGCAAGACTTTCAAAGGGAATTTAATTTAAAACTAGCATAGAAATTTACAAGTCATAATTCTGTAGGCTTTGGCAACTACAGATAAAGATTAATAAGTATCTAAATGTCAGTTATGCATTACTAATTATATTTAATATTATAAAACTATAGACATGAAAAAAATAATTACCACATCATCCAATAATCGAACATGGTCCTTTGCTTCTATTTCAATATCACATGCAGCCTGTAAAAAGATACACTTGTTTATTTATTTTCATTTCAGCTATGTAAAATTTATCTAAATGTAAAAATAGCAAAACATGTTTAAAAAAGCAATGGATATCATTAACATTCATTAAAAAAAAAAAAAAACACGATTTCAAAACTAAGTAATTGTTTAAAAAGCACTCTCTGACTTCTTCATATTATTATTTAGCATTAGCTCTTGAACAATTCATAAGAACCTATTCCTACCAAGCAGAAGAACCCATTACTTCGAAACACACTATCAGACCATTCGTCACCGGACCCCCCCCCCAAAAGTGCTTGGAATTGTCTGAGCATGTTACACTAGCTTTAAAAAGTGTTGCTGGTGGAGAATAGACTCAAATTAGCTACAGCAGCCAATATGGACAGACGACACAAACTTGGAGAAGCAGAAAGAGGGATGATCATTGGAGCCCACAGGTTTGGGCATTCGACCCGTGAGATTTCCAACATATTTCAGATACCCTGATCCACAGTGAGTGATATTATCATGAAGTGGAAGTGGGAGGAGGTCATAATGCCGACCCACACCAACTACACTGAAAATATTAACAGATTGTGACCGTCGAAGCTTGAAATGTTAAGTCAAATAGGAAGGTGTCGCTACAGATGGTGGCACAGGAGTTTCGATCGGCTTCCAGTAGTGTTGCAAGTGATCGTACTGTCCACCAGGTGATCATCGCACTTGGTTTCCATGGTCGTGCAGCAGTTCACAAAGCCGCTTATCACAGTCCTCAATGCAAGACGACGTTTACAGTGGTGCAAGGAACACCACCATTGGACTCTTCGGCAATGGAAATCCATCCTATGGAGTGATGAATCACGCTACCAGCTGTGGCACTCTGATGGACATGTGTGGGTGTGGCATATGCCCGGAGAAAGATGTTTACAAGCATATATCATACCCACAGTGAAATTCAGCGGAGGTAGCATCATGGTGTATTTGTGTTTCTTGTGGCATGGTCTTGGTCCTCTGGTTTTAGTGCCGAGAAAAATGAATGCTGATGCATACCAAATGGTTCTGAACAATTATGTGCTACCGACATTGTGGGCATAATTCGGTATTGGTCCATATCTGTTTTAGCAAGACAATGCTCCATGTCATACTGCAGGTGTTATAAACACATGGTTTGAGAACATGGGTGTGCAAAAACTTGACTGGCCAGCCCAAGTCCTGATAACAACCTTACTGAGCATCTTTGAAACGAGTTGGAGCGCCCTTGAGAACCAGGCCACGTCGCCCAAAAAACACTAGAGAATAGTTTGCCACTTTGCAAGTGGAATGGAGCAAGATTCCCATCGAAACCTATCGTAAGTTGGTAGAAAGTCTTCTTTAAAGGGTTGCAAATATAATTGCTCGCACGATACTGATGGACACTGCTAAAACCGGTTTAACGTACTAGTTAGGGGTGTCCGGTGACAAATGGCCAGATAGTGTATTTGTAGCTTTAGAGTTAACATAGAAAATTATCATCAAATTCCATTTTTTATGATATACATACTGATGTATATAATCATATTTTGTGCACTTACAAACAAATAAGATCATAAGAAATATAATGTAAATAACAAATAAGATCTGCAATGGACATAATGACTACAATTAGTATACAATTAAATTAAATGAAGATCAGCAGTTTTTAAAACTTAGTCAAATGTGTTTACAAAGTAAAATATCATTATATTTGATTAGGCTGGTGTAAAATCTTCAAAGAGTAATGTTATAAGGTATTATTTCTTCAAATGTGTTTACAAAGTAAAATATCATTATATTTGATTAGGCTGGTGTAAAATCTTCAAAGAGTAATGTTATAAGGTATTATTTCTATCTTTCCAGCATGCCTTCGAAGTGTAACGGTAGCACACTCAACATGTATTTGAGAAATCTAGGTTTGAGTCCTGGCGAGGTCATTGCTCATTTTTCATGTCTCCTGCTTAAAAAAAACCAATGACTCTGCAAGTGGCTCTTGAGCACTGACACACTGGTCGTGGACAATAATTCATCACCATCAGGATTTGGCGATTGGTACCCTAATCCCCCTTTAGTATACAAGACCCTCTTTCCAGCATGCCTTCATGGTGCAACGATAGTACACTTCGCACGTATTCGAGAGGTCCAGGTTTGAGTCCCGGTGAGGGCATTGCTCATTTTTCATGTCACCTGCTTAAAAAAAAAAAAAAAAACTAACGACTCTACAATGTGGACTATACTTACTGATTTCAGCTTTGAAATTTTTTTTGCCAATTCATCAGTATGATATCTGTTTTGAGCCTCAAGCACATCTTCATCTAGACATAAAAGAAAACAGCCAAATATTTAGATCAAAATAATATGAAGAAATATGCTACAATTTGGTTCAATATCATCACTTGTTCTTCAGAGAAAAAAGTCCAAAATATTTTTATACGCAATAAACTTCAGTTTATGATAGACCTCAAAATTCCATATACAAACTTTGAAGGGAGGTAGATAGCATTAATATGAATCATATTCACATAGCAAAGCATGACCAGACACACTGACCATACGATAGAGAAAAGACACCAAGCCACTGCAATAATATAATACAAAAAGCAGTGTAAAGCATTTTATTAAGCGAAATTTTACAGCACAATAAGTGATAAAGCAGAATAGAGTTTCACATGACGTGTCAGGTTCTAACCATTTACAGTGATAATATATAACCAATACTCAGTTGGGGTCATATATTATTGGTCATCAGTCTGATGCAACATGGATTGCCAAACTTTTCCAGAGATACTTGGGATGGATCTTAGGCAATGACAATTCTTACCATGAGGCCCATGTCAGAAGCAATGAATGCTTTTGTACATGATGGCCTTGAAGGTCCCTCACAGAAAGAAATCGACGCTAGATAAATCAAATGGACATGAAGGGCCATACAATAGGACTACCAATCCATCGATTCCCTCAGGTCTGATCCACATACTGGCCTACATGAATGGCATGATTTACTCAGTCCCATTGTGCTGGAACCACATCCAGCAACACAGTCATAAGAATAATATTCAGTTCATCAAGCAGAACCTCCTACACTCAAAATGCACTACTTGAAAATAACTAACAGGCTAAATTCTTTCTTTTTATATAAAAAATAAATTTTATTAATAAGGTAAAAAATATTTTAAATTTGACTTACTAAATATTTATCAAACATACATAAACAATAATAATAACACAAAGGGGAAATATTCAAATTCATATTCATTTCCTATCTGATATCTAAAGTTTGATACCAGTATAACATTGTTGTGGATTTCATATTGTAATTCAAATATATTGATAAATAGATATTAAATTCTTAGATTGATATTTCTTTCAAATAATTTTAAGATATTTAATTAATCATTAAATGACTTTTTTTAATTTAAACTGAAAGTAAACAAATAATGAACACTTTCTCAGTTTTCAGAGAAAATTTACCAAGTGGAACAAAACTTGAGAATAAATAATAACAATCTAGTCCCTTTCCCTTATTTATGAAATTTTTCTTTGATGCATTAACAGAAATACTTATGTTTGCATTTAAATACTTATAAACCTCTTTATTTCTTATCATAGCTTGACATTTGATGGCACTTTGTTTCTCATAAAGCTTTGAAGAGAAATTATCTTCATCAGGGACTGTAAATGCTCATTAGACAGTCGGTTCTTTTCTTTATTAATATTCAGCTGTGGAAAACAATGTTCACATATAACTGTATTTCTAAATAAAGTGATTTTTCTTAGAGAAAAACTTCATAACTGAGCTTATTTATTTTTTGGACTAACAAATAAAAGTTGTTAAAATTTGTTATCTTCAAATCTTTGGATAAGATTTATATGACACTGTAAATTAATCAGCTCTATTTATAATTTTTATAGTGCATAATTCATATTCCTTTTTAATGGAAAGGAAAACAATATAAACTTGGATATCATATAACTAAAATCTTGAAACCTTTGCAATACCATATTTGCAACAAAAACACAACTGAAATGTCTTCATAAGCCACATAAAATTGCTTTGGACAACTGCCAGTTTGAGACCACAGAAATAAACAATTAACGATGATATTGGCCTACAGATTAATGGCAAAGCAGTGTTGTGCCAAGCATATGGATTCTCCTGGGCACATTAGGAAAAGGATGCTTCATTTATGAACAGACCATAACTTGCGTATTCAAGAACTCGCATATTATTGCCACATTTTACTAATTTTCTGTCTGCAGTAACTGGATACATTGTAGATGAAATGGATACAGAGTTGAGCGAGATACTGGCTCTACATGCTCTCACTATAGCAGCAACCACAAGTATGCTTGTGCCTGGATTACTATCTACAGCATGCAAAACATTTTCTTCCATATGAGAATTCGGGCCAATCATGACCATCCAGTATCCTAATGCTGAAGGATCTATGTTCAGACAGGTTTTGATGGAAAAGCACAAACACTTTGATTTGTGGTACATGTCTGGTTGGGTCCTTTTTCCCACATTCTTCACAGTGATATGTAACTGTCAACTCATAAAGGAAATGCATGTCTGCAAATTCTACATTAATAAAATAATGCATATTCTCTGTATAATGTTGCAGGCTTTAATAATGAAGCCCTGAGTGCCACTCTGAATCACTGGCATTATTACTGTGTATCTGCTTCTGGTCTTACCTCACTATGTGATTACGGTTCACATCAGTGCTCTCCACCTCCACTCAAAATTTGTATGCACAGTTTTAGGGCACCCTATAAAAGCAAATTTTAGATTTAGAGATATATTACATTTTTAACATTCAGAATATTTTTTTGTGTGTGTTTCTCACTGCACATTAGTTATTAATTATTAATATTATTCATAATTACACAGTTTCTTTGACTTCACATTTATTTAAATCTAATTTTGAAAAAATTTATTTTTATTATACTGTATGTTCTCTGACCTCCTAAATGCAAGAAAAAACTGAAACTGTTATTTTTCTGAAATACTGATAAATGAACTATGATGTTTTTGATTTAGAAGTCAAACAGCAAAAATCAGCGCTATATTTGCGAATTTTCACAGGACATCACAGGATGGTAAAAGGCAATTAAAAATTTTGCGTGAAAAAGGCTTCAGCTGATACAAAAGGTGCTGAACTATTTGCAGATAAACTCATTTATCTCGTTAACAGTAAAACGTTATCTCCGGAGCAAAAAAACAGGGCTGATGAAACCTGGAATATGTACCGAAAAATACACTAGCAACTTCTACAGAAAAGGCTCCAACTAGTATCAAAGATTCCAAAGCAAAACTAATAATTTTAGCAAGCACAAATGCTGCAGGAAAGCCCAAGTGTAAAGTTTTTGTAATCAGAAAATATACATCACCTTGAGCATTTAAAGAAGTAAAGATTTTCCCCGTTACATGTCATGCAAATAAAAGAGCATGGATGACAGAAGCATTAATGAATGATTGGTTTCAAAATCATTTCATACTCGTGGCTTGAGAATTTGATTGATTTACTATAAATTAATTTCGACTGGTTTACCTGATGATACAAAAATTGTCCCAATTGTATATGACTGCTTGGCTCTTGCTCCGCTTAAACTTTTAGTGAAAGATAATATATCTATATTATTCTTTCTTCCGAACTGTATGTCCATCATTCAACTTATGGGCATTGGAATAGTGCCCAAGCTGAAATGCAAATATAAAGGAGCATTTTTTAAATCCATGTTAAATTTCTTTAATAATGGCAAGTATATTCAAGAATTTTGAAAATATTTTAGCATAAAATCTGCTGTGTGGAGCATGGCAAGATCATGGAAGGATGTGTCTCCAGATACCTTAAAAAATGCTTGGTATAGTTTATGTCCAGCTACCATATTTCATGGTTATGATGGTGAAGATGATAGTTGCGAATTTGAAGGTTTTCAGATATTGCAAACCAAAGGTGAAATTTTCCAATTAATGGATTTTGTAAAGAAATGTGGAGAAGCAGTAATAAATTAAAATGTTATAACAGAAGTTTTTCATTGTGATGACAATGCCCCAATCATCAATCAACAAATGGCGAAACCTGTAGTATGGTTCTAAATACAGGAAATATCACTACCGATAGTAAAGAAAATGACAGAGAGGGTACTGAAAATGAAAAAATTTTGATTGACATGTTTGTTGGAATTCTCAACACAGCAATTACAGGACTTGAACAGTGGAACTTTGTAAATGAACAAAAAATTATATCTGCCTATAGAATTAAAGAGAACGCACAAAAGTGATTGTATTAGCACAAAAGCGAAGCAAATTGAACAACTTACAGTGAAAAAATGTTTTATAAAGCAAATAAATAAATATCAAGTTTTTTTTTTTTTTTTTTTTTTTACATTTTGATACCTTTTAGATCATACATGCTTCATTATTTCACAAATCACAATTATATATTTTATAATTTCTATATGCCATCTTACTAGATTTAAACTGATGATCTAATACCTAGAAAAATCCTGAAGAGTCAGTGTCTCAGACTTTGTACTCTATAATAAATTCAATCATGGTTGATGTTGTTCGCTCCAGGAGAAATTCCATGAAGGTCATCAGAAATTGGTTGTTGTGCTAGAAAATATCGATGCTGTGCATGAACTGATAGAACAAGATCGTCATGTTACATACATTCAGATTGAGGTATCTTTGGGAATTGGTATGATAAGCATCAATAAAATATTACATGAACATTTGGCCGTAAAAAAGATTTGTTCACGTTGGATTCCACATAATCTCACAAGCACTCAAAAGAAGGCTTGTGTTGATTGGTGCAAGGAAATGTTGGAAAAACACATTCAAGGTACGTCAAAGTCTGTGTATAACATCTACACAGGTGATGAAGCATGGATCTATGCATATGAGCCTGAAACAAAACAGCAGTTCAGAGTATAGAAAACGAGCCAAATCCAACCGAAGCTGTTCATGGTAGAAGCACATTGAAGTAAATGTTTGCCTGTTCCTTCATTACCAGTCACGTGGCAATAGTGGCATTAGAGCAATGCAGGATGGTTAATTCCGAATGGTACACAACCATTTCATTGCCAGAAGTCATCAGAGAAATTCAGAAAAGCAGAAGTGAACCATTCTGCATTGTGACAACACGAGCTCTCACATATCGGCTCAAAGAAATTTTTTTATGGGCTAAAACAGTGAATTGATGGGTTTTGGCACCTAATGACAATTTTTTTTTATTCCCACACATCAAAAATAAATTATGTAGGCATTGATTTGCAACACCCGAAGAAGCGGTTGATGCATTCAAAC